ACTCTCTTTGGAAAAGTTCAGTATCATACTTGTCTCTGATGTGTGCGCGGAGAACCTTTTAGCTCACCCACATTAAGTCACCTTGTTAGTTAACATCTCTTCGGAACGTACCAGGTTTTATTATCTTTATCACTGTGCTAATGACCTCTTGACTCAGTAAAACCTTCTTGCAATCCTTCATCTATTTGTTTACAAAGACTGCTGTATGACATGTCAGAACCAACATCAGAGATTTGTCCACCATGTGGATCCTTAAACTCTCTGCGTGGGAGCAGAGCTGCAACATCACTAAACCTCAGAACTTGGTCTCCCATGCTGGAAGATAGACTCACCCTAACACGTGGGAACAAACCCAGCACCTGTTTCATGTGACTTTGGCCGAGGCTGGAGTGGCATGGTCCCTGAACTGGCATACCAGAGTCTCTTCCCATTGGTGCTGGAAGTGTGTCACATCTCTACTCTGCAGATGGGTTAGCACGCACATCTACATCCAGTGGAGCAGGGCACAGGTCCTGCAGATTTCTGTCTCCAGTCTAGCCACTAATGGTGATTGTTAATGCTTCCAGCACATGCATATATCTCAACCTTGCATGTAAACTCAAATCCACAGTATTATTGGTGACTAACACACATTTATAATGTTAACAAGTGTTTAAACTGTACAGTATTTTGCCACAGGAGAAGTCCCTATTATATTACTATTACCTGTGCAAACCATATATGACAATAGTCAACGACACCCCTCATAACATTGCCTGGTGCTCACTCAATGTGGAGACACTCTGCTATCACTCTTGACCTTGAACTGGGACATGGGACTGGACAGTTAAAAGTTAAACAATGATCTCCAGTAATATCAGAATAACAAATCTAAAATGAACATTGTTAGCTATAGCAAACGTTTACATTTTTTCTCAACCATTGATAAGTAGTGGACGTATTTACCAGCTTTAGTGTGCCTGGGAAATTTCCACTGTGTTGTGTTTTTGTTTTCTGTATTTGCAGTTGACCAGATTTCTCTAATTTCCCACCATATTTCCTTAATATTCTCATCCTGCATCCTTCAGACCTCTGTCATGTCTTTATAACCCTGACCCAAAGCATGCAGAGCAGTGGACATTTGCTGGCTCTTCATCCATTCCAAGGCTCTCCATTATGGCTATGGATGACGGATGTAGATACGGCGGTGTTCTCCCTCAGACTGTAAAGCATGAGGCCTAACCTTCCTTCCAACGGAAGTAATGGTCCACACCGTTAATTGTCGTGGGCTGTTCATCTTCACTAACAATAGCAGTAAGCAATGGGTCTGGGTAAGAAAGGCAGTCATGTCTGACAAAGGAAGTGATTTAGTTCTGGAGGCAATTCGTAAGCGGGCGTTGCAGGGGCAGCAGTAATGTGTGGAGAGAAAAATCATGTGTGGTGAGAGGCGTAGCTGACACAATAGTGGCACAGAAGCAACACTAGATATTTTTTGTCCTCCCATTGTAAAGATTTATCTGAAAAAAAAAAAGGTAATAAAATGTATATTGTGTGTGTCCTTCATGGAGCTAGAGCTTGTGTTATTGAAGTGGACATGATGTTGTCTGAATTATGGATGCTGTAAAGGCTTTGAAAGTAAGCTGAGACCAACTTCATCACAGTTGTATCAGTCAGAAAACAAACAACAGATCTCATTTAAAGAATTGGGCTGTTTGCGTAGGTGATCTTTTTCAGGTTTTCATGCTTCCTCATTATTCCATTTGATGTCAAAACATCATTTGATGCTCAACTTTCAAAAGTCTTCTCTTAGTTCTGTATTTCTTTATTCCACCCAGTCTTCTAAAGAGGAAAAAAATGTGTCATTGATGGGTCACTAGTTTACTGTCTGAATTAGACACATAACATAAGGAATAGACAAGTGTAGTTACCAAATTAAAGCGTGTTTCCTGGGAAAGTTGAGGCCCATTAAAATGATAGATTGCGTGTTGTATGCAAAGGGCTGCTTTACACCCACAAAACAGTCTAATTGCGTTCATTCCTGTAAGATGTCCACAAATGTTGAATCTAGATTCTCAGGCGTATTGGCAGCAAGCTGCTAGACAGCAGATGACTAGCTTCAAACGAGTAGCGAGGGGGAGGGATGTAAAATCTTGACAAACAGTGAGAGCCAGTGTCCACATCATCTCTCGCCCCTGACAGGCTTCCCCATGCATGAATTCAAAGCTGGTAAAACCATGGCTGGATTCATTTTGATCTGACATCCATCATGTAGATCAGTGTTGTGGTTTCACTGTACTGTGTCCACGATAAGATGTTTTGGCAATTGGCCCATGACATCTGTTGAAGCCAGTCAAGAGAAACTGGGACCAATTTGGCATTTCTGTCACAATTTATTGTTGGTTGTTGGCTTTGAGCACTATTCATTCATATTAGGGAAGCCACACAAGTACCACAAGTATCCCTGGATGTGATTGTATTATGTCTAAATTAATAGCCACTGTATATGAAGCTAATCATAGTCATCCATTATCATTTTTTAAGGTTACAATTTGTGGTGCTGTTCTGATTCTGTAATGTGTTCGGATTTTTATTTTTTTCATGTGCTGTTTCTTTACCCCAGAGAGGGTTTGCAAATTGGAGAATTGGGAGGGACTGCAGATTTTGTTCTCTTTCCATTTGTCAGAAGGAACCAGAAAAAGCCTTGCAGCCAGTTGCCGGGGGGGTAAATGGGTTTTGTGTACTAGTTTAAAACCATTAAGAAATAAACTACACAATATGCTGCAATATTAATGATCATAAGAGATGCAGACTAGACGCATGTGTAACGAGACGGAGGCTCTTTGATGGTTACCACTGAAAAAAAAATCAGCCCTGCATGTACTCATCCAATTAAGAGTAACTCTATTCTCTTAATACCAACAGTGATAAACCATGCTGAAGTGATTTAGTTAATATCAGTGTCCAAAACTACTCAGAATACCAATCTGAGTTATAGAATTACAGATAAACTACTCGCAGTATTTCTGTACCAGCTTGTATGGCTGAGGCATGGTGGCATGTGTGTGGAAGGCGTTAGGCAGATGGGAAGTGTCTGATATCTCTCACTCAACATAATGAGACAAGAATGCGCTTCACCAATCTTAGGGCCTGTCTGATGGCAAGAGACACAGTGCCCACTCATATGGGAGGGATCTTTCCCCTCTTCAAAGATAATGAGATGACAATGTATTCAACTATCATTAGACAGAGACAGTGTTTGGGGGGGGAATCATTCTGCAGCACTTGTCTGCAGCCTTTGATCAGACGAGAAAAGCAACTGTCATTCTTTGTATCAGCGCTGGACTCATGAAAGCCCATCTAACTACTTTATCACCGGCAGTGTCACTTGAAGGCTATAGTTTGTGGTGTAGTTCCTGAAGCGGGGGATTTTTCCAGTTCACGTGGATTGTTAGCGTGAACGGGAACACACCTCTCTGGTTAGGTATGTCCTGCTACCTGTGTGATATGTTAAATGTCTGTCTCTCTCAGAAGTCAGTCGCTTGACAAAAAATTGTTGCAGTGTAAAATCAATTTGTCATCACCTGGGAGGGGAAGACACAACATTTTGTCTGACATGGCACTCGAATGCAAGATGTCAAAATAGCCATGTTAACAGGCTTATTTAAGCAGGCTTGACGTGACAATCTTATTCTAAGTTGACAGTTTGTTGTGGCACTTGTAGAGGGATCCATCTTGTCTTTTGTCCCCGTAGTGAAGATGATCCCTCACATGTTTTTTTTTTTCTTTTTCATTCTCAGTCTTTCTTAGAACACTGTGTTTTGACAAATAAACCATCAAAATCCCTTTTTTCAGGCATTCTTCAGCAAGCATTAGGCCAACTGATCTGTACTGAAGTTCTGAGACAGTATTTTGACAGCAAACAATTATGCAGCGTTATCATTTATCTGGCAGAAGAAATGTGTTTGGCAGAATCCAAAATTCTGTGCCTGTAACATGTTATCTTTGTAATGCAGTGATTTGTAATTTGTGAAAACTTTCATTCCTCCTAAATCCCAAAATATGTATGATATAAGAAAGCAACCTGGTAAACATACGGTATGTCTTCACAACCTACAATCAATATAGTAGAATGTTCGCAACCCATGCTGTGCTGTTGCATCTTTCTCACATCACTTTCCATCTCTCTGTTCACTGTCACACAAAAAAAAATGAATAAAATACGAGGGAGAGCTGCTCCATCACTCCTAAAAAAAACATTGAAAAAAGGCTGGGAGCAGAGCTCAAAAATAGAACAATCTGTCTACATTTGTCACACAATTATGAGAGATTGTTCAAACTTTTGTGATGCCAAAATCCCTTTAAACCTGACAAATCATCTCTCAAGTCAGAACTCATCTCCATAGGCTTCATGCTTCCCTTAAAACTCAGCAAGATGCTCATTTCAAAGTAAGAGAAGGAGACGCCTTAACATCCAATTTCCCAACATTTCATCATTGTGTCTCAATAATTATGCAGGGTTATTAGCTCAAGTATTTGTCCTTGGCATTCTTAATGCCAGTTGACATTTATTATGAACAGTAATGGTATTGGAGATCTTTGATTTGCCATTGGCGGTGGTAAGTATGGTTTGGTTTGTTCTCTGCAGTGCAACAGCACCCTCTCTTGATAATTTATGAAATGATTACATCACCATGAATCCAGCATACACTATGCAAGTGCGTAGTACTGGTGAAAACCCAAACTGCTAAGATGAATCAAAATGGATGGATGCATGTTTAAATACGTTGTTTGCATACCTTTATTACAAATGATTAGCAGTTGACATCGTAAATTCTTGTTGGGACCAATGCACTAAAAAGCCCTTATCCCATTCCCACCTCCTGTATTAGTTTGATCTACCCTGAATGCACAAAATCCAAATCTCATTTGTCTCAAAGCTTGAACCCCATTGTATTCATCATCTGTTTCTCTTTGTCTCCATCTTCCTTTGTAATGTTCCTGGCTTTAAAAAGGGAAATCAACAAGGAACACTGGATTTTATTCTAATTCATTCAGCACGGAAACATGAAACTTTGAGTGTTGCAACCACAAAAACATAATACTGTCATTTCATTACATTTTTTAACACTTGAATGTTAAAGGCACTTGCAGATGACAAGGTAGTACAGAATGTAAACCATATCCAAACTCTATCTTTTTTTCTTTTTACAACATAAATCAAAACACTGACAAAGAGGAGGATCTTGGGTGGATAATAATTAGAATAAATATAAAACAAAACTTAAATCATACTCCAAACATCTGTAAACTAAAAAGAAAGAAGAACACTATTACTAAGCTTATTTATTATATTTAGTCCATGCTGCTCTGTAGAAGAAACAACCATTGAATAGATGGGAAAAACAATACAGAATGAAAATGCTATAGACTCTTCCAGCCCATAGATGGCTGATCAGGCTAATTACTAATTGTCACTTACTAATTATTCTCTTATTCATTAGTTTCAGAGTAGCTCTGTACGGTGTGAAATTAGATTTCTTTTTGTTGTGATGGCATAATTTGATTAGTGGGGTGATAATCTCAGTATATCATATATCATTGAATCGGATAGGGAAATATTTTTTATACAACACATTCAATTCTTGGGATTAAATGTGAAGAGGAACTGATGATCCTCTTTTAAAGTAATACATTTTAATTTGAGTGATTTTATGTTAAATACCTAAGGGTTAAATAATAGGATTCCAAGGATAATCATAATAGGATTTCTATATCAGAGTTGTCCCACTTCAGCTAAAACAAAGCAGCTTTGAGTTAAGTCAGTGCTGTACCATCTTACAAAACATTTAGCAGACAAATTACTCTTGTGAAAGTGTATCCATGTATCTTAATGGTTTCTTTATTTGTCTCTGTTCTGTCTCTATTTGGCTCTGTTCAATATTATGATAATATTCACAAGATAAACCCCATTTTCCATGGGCCCTTTAAACCAGAATCAGACATGGAAACCTGACAACTTTGAGGTACTGTATTGCATCATGCTCTTATCACGTGAAGCTGACTTTCTCAGTGTTGAGATCACTGTGTGTTTTAAACTGTGATTGCAAACCTATGGGTGGCAACAAGACTGAGGGGAATATTGGTTTAGTCTAACAGATGTAGAATTTCAGATTAAGCAATACTGAGCCAACCCACAGGAGAAGAATATAACGGACAGGAACTGAAAAGATAAAAAAAAAGAAATTGCACATTTGCACTGGTCATATCCAATGCAGGGACAAATCGAATAAAGCTATTTTCATCATTATGGTCTTGTGTTTCTACCGCCATTACACTATGCTTTCGAATTAACTGGAAAGATATATATTGAGATAAGTATTCTGCACGGTGGGGCTTCAATAATATTATACTCTGAAGAGGTGAACTTAGGTGAAAGCTATTATCCTTTATTGATTTCCATTATAATATCTGACAGGAGGTGCAGATAAACAGAAATAGAAAGTTAGAGAACGAGATTTATCTTTACATCAACTGAGATGGGATTTGTGCCAAAAGGGTTATACCTCAAAATCAAAAAGATGAAAAGGAATGTCTAATATTTTTGTATTCTGAAACAACCTACACGTTTCTAAATTTAAAACTGTACATGTGGACACATAAGCCAGAATTTTGTCTGCCAAAACCCATCCAAATCTTACCAAACAAGCAAGAGGAGAGTTGAAACTATTTGGAAGGTAAACAATGAAAAAAACAAAGGCAAGCAGTCGCAGTTGGTCCTCAGTCTGTTGATGAGAGATTGAAAAGAAAACCAGAGTGTTATCAGAGTGATATAAATCAAGCAAACATGCTTGCTTGATTTAAAAAGCGGGGTCTGCAATGAGAAGAAAATGAGGTCAATGTTGACATCAAAGTAAGTTCCAAGTCTGGTTTAGTCAAAGAATGAGTTTAGTTTACCCAAAGCAGAACAAGAGAAATCAAAATCTGCCCGCTGAGGGGCCACATTCAGCTCTAAACATGGATTTGAACATGCAGAGGACTGAAGTTATTTTATTTAGTTTGCATGCTGTACAAAAGTATGATAAAAGCATAAAAATTAACATTTGGCCCCAAAACATGATATAATTACAGTTACAAATTGTTCTCGTTGTGATAAAGGTTTTACTTTTATGAGCAGAACCAACTACAAAGCTAAAAATTCTAATCAAAGTCACATTAGTGAGCTGCTGTGGAAATCAGGTTTCAGAGTGCTACACGTGAAACAGTGCTTGAAATTCTCTCGTAGACTCAGATAGCTGCTTTGTGTGCACCTGGTCCCACTTAGCCATAGTTTGCTGTTTCTTCTGGGTTTATCCAATGGTTGTGTTGTGAATGATAAGATCATCTACATGACCCAAAAGGCATCATATCCTTAAAAATACAAGAACAGACAGTGATTTTGATAATTGTATAAACCAAGTAAAACAATCGCTCAGCTAGCATGCCCAGAAGTAAAGACAAAAGGATAATAACTGTACCAGAGAGCACTGGTTTAGGCATGATTCATCAACACAAATGTAGATTCATAAAGTTCACAAAAAACTGTACAGCAATGTGAAATATCAATATGATATATTTTCTGTAATTCACAATTTTGTAAACTTTTATTTAATGCGTAACAAGACTTCTAAGACAAGCAAATGACTTTGGTGTTCTGTAGCTACAGGCTCAATAAAAATAAAGAAAGAAAGTAGGAGAAAAGAAAGTCCAAATATATATATATATATATATATATATATATATATATATATATATTCAGCAAAAAGTCTCATTTCATTCCTGTTCTTCTTAAAACCAGCCTGCAAAAACTTCACCACCCTCAGTGTTCACAGTGGTCTTCTTCACTAAAGAGCAAGAATCTGTTCAGACCACCCGCTAAGGGAAGACACTGGTATGGGGTTAAATTTTTGTTTCTTAACAATTTTCATTTGAGTGGCTATAAAGTGAAATATAAACCCAAAAATATACTGTATGCGATGGCACTGATAAGAAAAGTCTCTGTATAGATGTAAACTAACCTGCAGGCTTATTTACTCAAAATGTAACTTTTACATTTAATCTTACGGACATACACAGAACTTTTCATAAAACTAGTATAACAAACCAGTACAACAAAGCCTTGGCTCTTGCTACAGCTAAGCCAAGTCTATGAAAAATCTTGATCGCTTGAGAATGTGGAGAATGCGCAGCAGTCCTCCCCAGTGGGCAGACATGTCCACTAATGATAGAAACAATGGTTTATGGGCAAAGCTCTGTCTGCGTTTCCCTCTGAAAAATCTGGAGAGCCGAGTTAAAGGAGAAAAAAAATGAAAACATGATTCTCGAAGGATGTGTCCTTGATCTCTTGTTTTGTTTGTCCACTTTTCTTTGCTGCTCTCTCATTTGTTTCCCATGCTGTCGTGAGACAAAATGCTCAAGGCAATTTCACCACCACCACGCAGGCGCCTGCCCTGCCAATGTTGAGAGGGACCTCCTACAGGAAGACGGAGAGGTTAACATGCAGCTTTTCATCTCTGGCTGTCTTCAAAAAAATCCCATTTTACTTCATGCAGATAAGAGGGTTACACAGGAAAAATTGGAAAAACTTATTGCAAAAAAAGATATAAAAATATTGATAATATTCATTGACTCCAGTAGATTTATGCTCCTGAAGGGTGTTAACTGGAACCCTGATGTTACATGTAATAAATTCTGGCAAAAGTAAGCAAAGTAATCAAAAGTTCTCATCGTCATATTTATTTGTATATGTAAAACAAAAAGAATATAATATTTAAACTTTGTGTTGCCATGATGAATTTGTTTTGGTTTAATTACCTCAGTCCACTCATTGTTCTGTGCATCGTAGGACTCGACAGTGTTCAGATAAGACTGGCCATCATATCCACCCACAGCATAGAGCCTGTCACCCAGTAGGCAAACACCCACCGCGTCCCGGGGAACACTGAGGGAGGACACAGTGGTCCATGTGTCCGTCTTTGGGTCATACCTGCAATTGCAATATTTGTACAAATGATTGCATTTTTGCATTATGGTTGGTATTGTGAAACATTTGTTTTTCTTTTTGTAAAAAGTTATTTGTGTAATCAGCCTGAATCTCAAGAAGAAAACAATATACCATCCCCACTAACTCAGACATCTTAATGTTTGATTTCTTTAATTACTGATGTCTGAATGCTTACTAATAGCAACGCCTTTCAGCACAGTCATGGAAATTGAAACTTTAATGCAAAATTGTCTCTTGAACAGCAGCTGGTGTTCAGAGAGAGAGCTACACTCATCAGCGAAGGCAGAAGTTGTTGAATGAAAATGTTTTATATGATTTAATTTCAATTATTTATGGGTAAGTGAAATGTCCAAATATTCAGTCATGTCTTGCTGACACCTGGTACTAACGAGGTTTGAAGCTGCTTAATTTTTATTTCATGCTTCTGTTTCATATCAGTTTAAAGCAAAATGAGTCAAATATTGACATCCCAGAGTGTGATCAGCAATTACTAAATTGTTAAATATTTTGTATATAAACAGTAGAGGAAATTAAAAGTTAAAATTGAAAGAAACTGCTAGATTAATATAATAAATAATAATACAAATTGTATTTGTATAGCACTTTTTAAATGTCCTTATAAAAGACATTTACAAATAAATCATCAAGAAGGTATAAACAGTATCAAAGAACCATTCAAATAAAAACTTAAAATCAGGTGGTTGTGTGAATGTGGTGGTTGTCAGGTGGAGAGGCTGTAGTCTGTAAAAATGTGTCTTAAGACGGGATTTAAAAGCAGAAACAGTGTCAGCAGAATACCAACTGGAAGCGCCAAAGCTGAGGTGGCAGTACAGCAAACGCTCGATCACTATTTGACTTTAACCTGGACTCCTGGAGTTAAGAGCTCACCAGTGTACTCTGGCGTCTGGCCACGTAAAGCCTTGTAAGTCCAGAGTAAGTAAATGGATTCTAAAAGAAATTGGTAACTAATGCGAGAAGGCTAAAACTGGGCTTATGTGAGAAGAAGCAACTATAAAAAGCTTAATAAAAATTATTGAGAATGCTTTACAGGGTGTAAAATCATATTGACTAAACTGAGAAAATATGTAGAAACTAGACAGCGCAAAAGGAATACATATATGTTTACATTAATCATTTGGGAAAGTAAATTCAAATGAAACACATGGTGGAGAATATAGCAACTCTGTTTCCATCCTACAAAAATGTATCTGTAGGGTAACCTTATATTACATCTATTCACACAACTTACAATATAATGATACTGGTTGCATGGCAAATTGTAGGTTGCAGCAGCAGTCATAAATTTAAATACACAAGTGATAGGAAGTACATAAAAAACAGGCACCATTTGCAATTTTTCAAAAATGGGAAAATGCATTCTGGCAATGAATTACAACTGAAGGGGCTCTATTGTGAATCACATAAGGTTCAGATTCAGGAGGATATTGGGCCACCAGATGGTGCTAGATACTATAAAATAAAACCGTGTGGAAACTATGATCTTGTATCTGGTAGTATAACACAGACATGTCTCAAAATGCAGGAACAGGGTGGGGATCAAGTGGAGTTGAACTCCCTTTTGTTCTTATTTGAACGTCCCACACCCACCCAGGATTGATTCCCATCAACTGCAATCTAAATCCACTTACGCAACTTCTATGTGTTTTTGTATTTTCTCCCCAGACGAAACATTTACAAACCTCTCGACACAATCGGAGAGTCTAGAACAGTGGTTGGAGGCAGGGGCGTCGTGTCCACCTACAGCATACAGGAAGTTGTTGTATGTTGCCACACCCACTCCCCCTCGCCTCTTGGCCATGGGAGCACACATGCTCCACTTGTTGGTGTGCGGATCGAAGCACTCCATTGACCTCAGACACGAGCTGCCGTCTCGCCCACCTACTGCAAACAATCTGAAAAGAATTTAACAAAATGGGTTCAAAATCTCCGACATCTGATCTCAACACTGGATCTGACGGGAGAAGCTCACATCAGCTGTCAGATGTTTGTAAAAATGATGGCAGAACAGTGATAATGTGATGTTTTATAAGATACAGCAGTGAGCAGTGGATAGAATGTTTCAAAGGTACTTTCCTTGAGAGTGTTCTTTCCTACAAAGATCGCATCAGTGTTTTAACACTCACAGGCCCGACAGCAAGACAGTAGAGGCTAGGGAAACAGTTTCCTTGTTGTCTATTTTTGACCTAGATGCAGAAATAACTCGGTATCGACTTTAACACTGAATACTGGATGTAGCCGAGCAGCAGCCTCTCTCCTCCTTCGGCATACAAACATATTTAAATTAGGCTGAGAGCCGGTCTGTTCTTTGCTTAATTTACTTTCAAATAGTGTTGTAAGGCATTTAATACATACAAATACATAAAGTGTTCTGCTTTTATAGAGTCTAGATTGCACTGTATAAATTACCACACTAATGAGCACCACTGACTACTTCACAGCTGTAGTTTAACCCATACAGACCACAAAGGTCGATTCAACATTCAAGAAGTATAATGTTGTCAAACTATTACTGCGCTAATACTGCACTTCAGCTTTTCCTGGACCAGTGCTCTGAGTTATATAACCATGCCTGTGTTATTGCATGCTCTATTCCAAGTTATGTAGCCTATTACATTACTGCTGACCATTTTCCACTGCAAAACATGCTGCAGTGTTTGAATTTTCTTTGTTTATTCATTTTAGTACATCTGCAAAACCTTCAGTATATTTAATGGAGGACATAAATATTTTTACAGAAAAACAACAGATGACTTATCTTCAGCAAAACTAAAAGCAGACATAATGTCCATACTTCAAGTCTATAAATAAGATTATTTTGCAAGGGCACTTGGTATTGTGTGGTAATTTTTACACTGCAATATTCAGCTTTTCAACACTTTAAAAGCAAACTTATATTTAAGGCAGACAGGGCCCCTTTCAAAATCATGTGTTAACCCTGGCATTCCTTTTTTACTGTAAATTGCTTCTCTGCCTCCTCAGTGTCTGTTGTGGCTTTACGGATGCCAGTGACCTCGACCTCAAGCACCATGACATTTCAAAGTCGCAGAAAAAAAGTAATATACTTCGCCTCAGAGTGTAAGGCTGCAGATTTAAGTATTAAGTTGGGACGGTCTGTAGGGTCATTAAAGCAACTTACTTCCCATTGAGTGCTGTGACTCCCATGGTGCTTCGTGGTGTCGACATACTGGCCACGTAGTTCCACTGTCTGGCCTGCGGGTCCCAGCGTTCCACTGTGTTGAGATAGCTCCAGCCATCGTGGCCTCCCACAGCATACATAGGGCCCTCTAGCACAGCAATACCTACACAAATGGAAACAAGAGACATGTTACCGCAAAAAAGCCTGCTCTTTTGATATCTACTTCTTCTTTTTTGTGTATTATTATTATCTGTGCGTGGAAAAGAAAAGGCAAAGTGCCCCTGTGATCATCATCAGCATGTTATATGATTATAGTATTTCTATTGTGTGTGTATTACTGCATATTTTGTACAGACACACAATAGATGCTCTAACGTCTATAACCTTTAACCACTGGGCTGGTGCTAAACGCTTTCACACAGATATCAAAGCTAAAGCAACACAATATATTCAATGCCTCCTTGAGGATGATGAAACGAAGAGTACTTTCTTTTTCAAATGATGCAGCACAATGCCAGCACAAGGTCATTTTTGTTTGTGAATAATCAATGAAAAGAAATGAAATGGCATTTCCAAATCAAACTTTGCTACGACAGTTCTTCGAGAGAGCCGAGGCAGAGGTACGTTTCTCATTTTAGAGCAGGGCAGAGTGAGTCATACAGCTGACCAAATCTATTCAGAAAACAGGAAGACTATAAAACTGCATTGTTATTCCTCATTCCAAAGTCACAGGGGAAAGCGGTTTTCGCCAGTAACATTGCAGAGGATGTTTTAACACAATGGATTTTTATATTACCAGCCTTATTTCCTTTGGTGAGACTTGAGGGGACATGGGGGCAAGACCACATTCAGAGAACCTCAAATGACATAAACACTGTGGGACAGAGACGATTCTTGTAGTGAAACTCTCTTTTATTACTAACTGGTGGTTTTGAAATGAAAAAGAAATACTTTTTCTTGTCTTTACCCATAATGCACACAGCAGGCAATGGCTGGGCAGGGATGTTGGTAGACGCTAAAGTTCAAATATATTCAGACTCAAAATATGCACGCCACAAGCAAAGCAGCGAGAGATATTTGCTACAGGAAAGATCAAAGATGAAACAGGTAATCTGTACAGTGTGATCTCCTGGGCTCGCTGATACCTCCGACCACACGGGGTGAGTGAACTGAATGCTTTGACAAGATCTCCCTGTTCTGTTACCCAGGCCTGTTTCAACTGTGAATCAAAACGCTTCTGATATGAAATTTATTGGGCAGGGAAGGGTAAGGAAGAGCAGGGCCAGCACAGCCTGTCAAGCTTTGATAGGGGAATGGGTAAATATCAAAGGTCTATCTCAAAAAGAAATGTGTGATTTTTTTACAGCATGCCAGCTGTGCATCCTGTGATTTTTGGTGTTAAATAACACCAGGTAGCCAGACTGAGCTTAAACCTCAAACCTTGAAATTGTTGAAATAATTGCATTTTATTATCAACATCCTCTTAAAACATTTAACCAGGTAATTAAAGTTTAATAAAATACACATAAAGTCATATCAGATGTTTGAGAATAGTAACAAATATTACATACAGAGCTGAGAAACGTTGTTGATTAATCAAATATTTGGTAATCAGTTGATTTTTTGTCAAGCAAAAATACAAAACTTCTTATATGATAGTAAACTTTGGTTTTAGACTGTAGGACTACAAATATATACTATATAAAAAACTATTAATGATTTAATTGAAAACATAATTGGCAGACTAACCAATAATGATAATAATCTTGACATATTAGCTTTTCCTGTCCAAATATCATTGTAAGTTTTTTAAATTTTGATACTTTTAAAAAGTGACCGGCAGCATTGTCCTGATGTGACTCATTGGTCTAACCAAAGCACATTATGTCTGCATTATTAGATTATTTATCAGTGCATTACTTTCTTTTGAATGTAATAAGTGGAGCTACATTTGCCTCACAAGACACACTCACCAAGTCCATGTCTGTGTGTTGACATGGGGGGCATGGTGGACCACACTTTATTGATTGGATTGTAGCACTCCACCATGTTGGATGTCTTGAGTCCATCCCTCCCTCCAACCACATACAGCTTGTTGTCTATCACTGCCACGCCAAACTGCAGCCGGCGTCCATTCATGACTCCAACCTGGACCCAAGTGTTGGTCCGCAGGTCATACTTCTCTATGGTGGTGGAGCCTAAAACCACAAGCACAGCAAGTGTTATAATTTAAATAAGCCTTGCTGTGTATTGATAACTGCTGCGTATGGGCCACACCTTTGGTAGCGTCCATCCCTCCTACAGCATAAAGTGCACCCACAGTGGACTTTCTGGGTTTGGTTCTTGGGCTCTGAAACATTGGACGTCTCTCAGGCAGAAGATGGTACTTCATGGCCTCCATCAGCAGCTTTTGGCATTCCAGATCATCAGAGAACATCTTGTTGTTTTCCAGATCTGCAAGGAGCTACATTTCAAGGATTCACATTAATAGGTTACATGATAGAATGCATTAGAAATATAACTGTGTGTAGAAAAAGAGCCAAATGTTTACAGCATTTATACAAATCACTGAAGGGATGCAATGAAATGCGTGTTTATGTAAAACCAGGTTAATCTCATGTAGAATTACCTTAAGTACTTTATGTATGAAATGTTAGATTAATGTAACACACTGCAGATCGAAGTGCAGCTTAAATAACAGATAAACTCGTGTAACACAAAGACAAAGACAGATTTGCATCTGTTTGGAAAACATCTCACCAATTTTCCTGGTGTTTTGGAAAATACTCAGTCCTAAATATTTTACCTCTATGTAACATTTAGCCCACACTAAAGATGGAGAAAAATAATGATTCATTGCTGTTGTTTATCTCCCCCAGCCAAAATATATGTGGAAAATATGTAATACATAAGTTATCTCAAAATGTATGTATTACATATTTTCCACATATATTTCATTCATAAAAACATTTACTTAATTGTTGTTTGCAAACAAAAATGTTGAGCGTTTGTTTTTTCCAGCATCTTTTCATCCAATATAAAAAGTGAAATATAAAATTTGCATGTGCATACTTAGTTTTAGAGAGTAATATGTCAGGGAAAATAAAGCTGTGTTCATATAAAGAGATATTTTCATACTTCAGATGTGCCAAAAATTGCTAATCTGTGTTTGATGTTATGTAAATTAGGATGGCACAGTTGTAAAACAATTCTTCATCTCAGAAATACGGCATTCATAAAACATGAGTTGCAGTGTTTAAAACAATAATAATTCAAACATAAACAAGCTATTTACGGCCTGACATTGCATATGAAAACTTATGTGTAGCTGTCTTTCTGTCAGTCTAATTTATCACATAGCCACTTTCATAAACAAAGTGATTATTGACAATGCAGTAGTTCATTGCCTTTCAGTGGTCAGACGGAAGACTGAGGGTATACTGGGGGGTTCTCTCGCAGTAAATGTATGGGAAACAAGTCATCGATTAATTGATTTGGAGACTGACTGAATTAATTGGTAACTTCTTTTTTTACTTTACAAGCTAAAGTGCCTAATATTCCCTGGTTCCAGCATCTCCACTGTAAGGATTTACTGAGTTCCTTTGTCTTAAGTGATAGTAAGCTGAATACCTTTGGATTAAACCTTTTACTTTTGCTTTGACAAAATAAACATTTGAATATGTGATGTTAGGCTCTTAGAAATGATTATGGGTATTTTTACCATTTGCTGACTGAAATCCTGTATAAATATCAAGAAAAGATTTTTGGAAAATTTGTTATATATCCAACAAGTCTCAACCTGAATAGAATTAGGCACCTTCTGTTGACAGTGAGGACAACTACAAACTCAAGCAAACACACAGTATATGAACCTTATCATACATTTTCCCTTTAACCGCTATCTCACCTGTGGAGGAAGAAGAGGCAGGCGGATGAAGGCCAGAAGCACCCCAAGGTCCTGTTGTCGATGCTGGACATCGTACCGCACCCACATCATCAAAGCCTGGAAGATGGTTTCCTCATCAGGGACGTTGATGTCATCGCTGGAGAGCAGCTTAACAATCTCAGCCGTTGGGAGCAGCAGGAACTCCTGGTTCTGAATGACCTCCAGGAAGTGTTCCTGGAACACGGAGGAGACACGAAGGAGGCAGATAATCATCAGTCATTAGCCGTGGGGTATGCTTGATGCAGCCTTGTGTGTGTGTGTGTGTGTGTGTGTGTGTGTTTGTGCTTCTATAGCTATGAGGACCAAGTGGCTCAAGGACAGTGAGATGAAGAAAGATTGATGCAAGTAGACAGAGAACTCCAGTTTAGAGGTTTCTATCAACAATTTCTTAAATAACAGTGAAATACTCTTCGTGCCTCAAACATTTTGCACGAACAGATGAAACTGTCTTCTGTTTCACTTAGCTCACTTAATAAAATGATCCACACAACAGCAGGCTACAAATCAATCTGGCATAAAACATCTCCCAAAAAAAGCCTCCTCACAAGCTTTTTTGCTGCTGATCATACATGACATTATTAAGCCTTTACAAGCCTTTTAATGAGAAACAGAAAGGCACTGCAAACCAACATTACCATCACACCAATGCGTGACCAGCTCTAAGTTTTGTGGAAGATTTTCTCTATTGCCTTCCTTAAGATTGATCTTCCATTTACTGGCCTGGGCAATTTTACAGCACTGCATGGCTACCTCTTCAAGGACATTGGAGCTGATGCCATATAAAACCTCATCTACAGTATGTTATACCTAACACTAAAACACATGGAAGACATACAGAGCAGTCCTTGATCATGCCCTGTTTAATTTTTGAATGAGGCAGCTGAGCAGTAATTATTACCAGTAATAACTCTGACAAATCAAGCGCTCACTGTAGAGTAGATGCTAAACAATTACTAAAAAACAAACACGCTATTGATCATCAACTGGCAGCAAATTACAGCATCTTGGTCCGATCTATTATGAGAGCAGGTTTTAAGAGCTTAGCACAGACAGCCTTAATGAAATGAGGGACATCTATTGATCTGTGGTGGTAACACTGAGGGAGAAATTCCATCCAACTCTTTGACGTTGCTTTAGACCAATTATTTGTAATTACCAGTCCCGAACAACAGCTGACAACTAAATTGAAAGCTCAACCGAGTTTGTTTCATAACCATTTAAAAGGATGTGCTTTCAGATGCTGGCAATCTCGTTGGTGAGTAAACTGCTTGGAAAACAAGATCAGCAGGAGAGGATACTAATTGATTTAACTACTGCAAAAGAGTAATTGTGTAATAACAGTGTTTTTCTGAGGAGGAGGAGGAACGCTTATGTTTAATCAGAGTGAGGCTGGAAGAATTACCCTTCAACAGTTTACAGAGACTGGCAAAGCTATATTTTGTATTATTTTAAAATTGGGATTAATTCACAAAATCCAAAGTCAAAGTATTTAGTGAGGTATGTAACTGAAATTTACATTTATTGCTGAAAAGAAATGCAGTCATCCCAAACAACACCCGAGAAGGGCAACTGTTTCATAAAGGAAAAGGATGTCAAAGGCGAATCTCGGTTGCCATGCTCAACCAGGAAAAACAAGCTTATCAAAACATAACTCGCTCCACTCAGAACCCAGAGGATGGACTTCCAGGAAGCCCACAGCTCTCACTGCTCATTACTGAAGTGATTGAACAGGAAGTTGGCCCTCTTGTGCAGTTTGATGATTAGATTAACCTCCTGATCCTGGATGGGGCCTATGTAAACAGGCTGAGCAGATGTCCTGTAGGAGATAAGGCCTGCCTCACGCTGTCACTTCTGCTTGGTCCAGCAAGACGTTATCTGACAAACATGTGCATGAATCTTAATCCGAAGCAAAAACTCCTCGCTGATATAAATATATTATATATATATAAATAGCATTTTCACAAGTCTGCTAGTACACTAATCAGTGTGCAGCAACATGGTATACTGACAGCCACATAACCAAATTAGATAAAGTGAAAGCATGAAAATATTCAATTTCTATTCAAATGCGCACATCATCCAATTCTCTGCTGAAATTATATGATATAAATAACGAAGACAACAACAGCTCATTCCTTTACAGGTTATGACAGGTTATTTAAATTAACTTGTCTCAAAACAGAGGGCAGTCACAAATATTTCGATGTCCCATGTGTTATGTTAGTCCGTCAAGTCATGATGAAGTATTGTTTTTACTGACAGAATTCTCAAAACAATGCTTATTATTCAGGATATAATCAGAGTTTATGTGAGGAAAATAAAAATCAGAAACGCACTGAAAAATGGCTCAGGTTAAGTCCTGTCAGCACCTTAGATTATGTTGGTTCATTTGATTTACTGCAGTGGGGGCTGCCTTTCATGTCAAAGTACACATAGTGGTTATTAAACTACATTTTTAAACACTTTTGATACTGTTACAGCTCTCATTACAATGGCTAACCTTGTGTATTCACGCAAGGTTAGCCAAGAGTCACTTTTGAGAGTGCAGTCCCTTATTACAAAATAATTTATTCCACCTAGCCGTGTAAATGTGATCTAGTTCTATTCGCCCTCTTACCATGGTGTAGTTATGAGCCACATTGAGCAGGTCCATGCAGCCCTGGGCGTCTGCAAAGGAGCGTATGCCCAGGCAATTGGAGGGATGAAGCTGTTTCATCAGGAAGTTACAGCAAACCTGGATGACTTGTGAAAGCTGGAGGAGACAAGCTGCCGCCAATAAACTCTCAATGGTCTCCTCTTTCAGCTCAAGGACGCCTGCAATGTCAGGACAAGCAAAATATATTTTTATGTCACGACTGGAGATGCGCATAATAACAGTGGTGGGGGAAGCATTGGAATCAACATTTCAATCATACTGTTAAAGTAGAAGAAGAATAGTCATACTAAATGCACTTAACTAGTTCATACAGCAAAACAAATAGAATATCATCATTATGTTATTTTACCCTATTTTAGGATGTAAATATTGTGGAAGGGGATGATTTCAACAAACAGCTCTTATCAAAGGGGTTTGGTTCTGTAAAATTAAGCAATATTACATTGAAGTGCTGCCCAGTCAGTCAGCCTAGTGATGAATCACCTTATTGATCCATTTTAATCATGCTGGATTTCAGAAGTCTCATAACTACTTACAAGCGCTAGTGAATGTCTTTTACAAGCACTCACCAGTGTAGGCAAAATGAACCAGGGATCTGAGGGCTTCTGGATCGACTCCCTCCATCTTGATCTCCTCCTGCTTTGCCTCTCTCACGTCGCTGGTGAACATAGCAGCAAAGTAGTCTGACACGGCGCTCAGGACGAGTCTGCCATAAAGATAAATGCAGTGAATTAATGCTCTCGTCGTGTACACTGGTTTACATGCCTGCGGGAGATCTATGCACTGATTATTTTAAGTGGTTAGTGAAACCATCCTGAGGTTGTGTTTCGTGTCCTCAAATGTAACTTAGCTTCACAAGAAAGGGCATATCTTCACAGTATTGTGTTGTTGTTGTAAGAACTTCATTTTTTATGCAATGTTACTATGACAAATTAAGTAACTTACTGTTCCCCTCACATTCTGTGTCATGCCACTTCAGTTGTCAGTGCATGATAAATGGAATTATCCCACATAGTTCAACTTTGCTAATAGCTACACTGGTTAGACTTCTAATTATGTTAACTCATTTATCAAGCTCACATAACTATGGTTGATTCATGAAGGAAAGGAGAGATCATGTGGCAAAACAACAAGATCGAGTGACACAGTACAGTCCACACCCATATTTCCATAACGCTGTGGTTTATAATAATAATAATAATAATATATATGTATATAATATTGTGTGTCATCTACTATGTCAATAAACCATCCCAGCTTTACTTGGCTGTGTCATATGAGCAAATCTAAAGCCACATTGAAACAGGCAGTCAGACAGCTAATCATTTTACCCAACTAGGTCAGTCACTCTCTCTCTCTCTCTCTCTCTCTCTCTCTCTCTCTCTCTCTCTCTCTCTCTCTCCCTTTTTCTCTCTCTCTCTCTCTGTGGAGTATTCGGGTTTCTGTTTCATGAGTCTGTCTGGATGGACTAGCAAAATATGCCAGTGGAGAGACGTGCAAGCGCGTGCACTCAGTGAACGTGATGAATTGCAGCATTCAGGGGATGTCATGTGATCTGTTCAATTCAGTCATTCAACCAAGGGTTGGATGCCCAAATATCGACACCTCCATGTAGTGGATCAGAGTGTTTCTCCACATCTCAAATGTAATGTGGAAATGAGGAAGGGTAGAGGTGTAATTAGATCACATCAGTGTACATTATTTAGATGCAAACCAGTGAACACAGGGTTTGCATATCTTTACTGTCAACTGTCACCTGAAAATCAAAAGAATCTCCCTTTGCATTTTAAAGCTTATTTAATTATTCCTCAGATGGATCGGACTGACAGCATATGTTTCAGCATGCAAACTGAGGTCCAGAGCAAAGCCTGAATGCAAACATCAACAACTTAATGAAGAGAATGTATCTCTGTTTGTATATCTTAACTAAATTCAATGCAGGTGTAATTAATGAAATCAAAGTGGACAGAAGCACAAATGCCAACCTGTGAGCTGGTATCTTATGATCCCCTGCTATCAAGAGGACATCACACAGCTGCTTGTGCTGGAGGTAGGTCTCCATCTTGCGGAAAGTCTGTTCTGCATGATTTGTGGCCTGGAAAAATTCATCAGAGGAGTTGGTGTTCATTCTGGAGAAGGTGCTAAGAGTCAACCTGTGTGAAGACAAGCAAGGAGGGAGACAGTGGTTGTCTGATTAAAAAATGGACCAAAGCAATGGATGCTGTCTGTAGAACTATGGCATTCTTGAATTCTCTGCTTTTTATTTACCAGGAGCAATTTGCCATTTGTCATCTTTAGAAGATTGCATGCAGTCTCTTCCATTTTTCCACATTTATTTTGAACATATGTAAGTAATAATACACCAGTAAACAATAGGCTCACTTGATGGGGACTTCACAGACAAAACAAAAAACTATTTGACACTTCAGGTGAAATAAACAAGGAAATTTCAATTTAGGGAGACAAATAAATTAAACAAATTAATTAATTTTACTCACTGTTCTCCCTGGCCATTAAGTATGAAATAAAATAAACAAATAACTGAAATAGCTGAACACAGTGAGATAAGAAACAGATTATTGAGGACACAAAAAGGTTTATTAGGACACACGGCACTCCTGAATCCTCTATTCCTTGCGGTGCATCTCCATCTTTCTTGCCACTGTAGGCTGAAATTAAAACTGTTATGGTCTAAACTCTGTGCATAAGTGGATAACTAAGCTCTCCAGTCCAATGGGACAAGCAAACACCACAATCTATGCAACAGCTTTCCAGACAAAATTTCGTATGTGTATGTCTTTGTGTCTGTTCCTGTGTGCGTCTGCATATCTGTGTGTGCACGTGTGTTTTCCAAAGACAGGGACTTAACAAGTGAACAAGCCTGTTCCTCTCAGTATTGTGCTGAGGCTGATTTCCCCCCGTCCCCACAGGCTGCTAGATTACATGCTGTTTTACAGGAATCCAAGTAATCCCTCAGACTCGTGGCAAATAATTCAGCCCAGTCACTCAGTGTCCTTCACAGAGCAAGTTCACTCATTGACATTTAGGGTTGTTTGTCACGCCACATAAACAGACTCAAGCCGCCTCTCCGAGGGAGTTTACTGTCATCTCATGGTCCTTCTGCTGTGTAAAGCTCAAGAAAAAATGTCATTGCTATTTAAAGTAACATTTTATGTCCCCACTCATTACCACTCATACTCTGATATGAAAGCTGCATAAACTAGTAAAATTACAGATTTGTCAATACAATTGAACTGAAAATCCCGTAATGCTTGGCAGCTCACTGTATTGGCATACACTAAGATTGATAACACAGGAAGGACGGAGGGGGTGGTGGCTCTTATTGATGTCCTGATTAACACACTATTACAAAGTTTTTAGCCGAGCGTGTGACTTTCTCCTCTTTGATTACCAAAAGCAACAACAGTTCTCCTCGGGGAATTGTTTATATTGCCCTTCGGTGACTGCAGTATCCTATAGTTTAATCTTTATTGGGAGACTTTCTACTAAATGCAAGAGTAATTTATTGTCCTGTCACGATAATTCCCCACTGACTCTGGAGTCTTGGAGAGGAACACCAAACAAGACTGAATAAGCAATGGGGCCGTTAAACTGAGATGCATTGCCTTTGTATTGGCTCCAAGGCATGCTGTAAGGATTTTTCATGCCTACCAATCTCTCCGACACTAATTGCTTTGGTATCACATTCTAGGGAGCAGTAAATTTCTCTGAGGTGTATATTTCGCTTTCAGTAGTGGGTTGGATCATCAGAGGTATAGCCCAATTTTATTGAGGCACTAAAGCCCCAGAACACCTTACTCCAGAGAAACTGCTGTAGGGACACTGCTGTGCATTGCATATTAGCAAGCAATTCAAAGACAGTCACAGTACCTAACAGAGCCTATAGATTTCTATTGTGGTCTACAAACTATTTGAATGCACCAACTTGCATTCCTAGAATAAAGAGAAGGTAAATTAGCCTATATAAAAGAACAATACAGTACAACGGAGTACAATACCGGTATTTGGCTTGTATTTTTCCTCACACGTCATCCTACAGTACACACAAAGAAACAGGGGTATCATTTCTGTACCCTAAGGTACATTTGTCAGAAAAGTACCCTGTCAGGTACAAAAAAGGTCCTTAAGGTGATGTCTGGGGACCTTTGTTTAATTTTAAAGGTACAAATTGTCGCAGAGTAAAATGCTAGCCTGTACTATTACTCCCAATTTTATTTTATTTAAGTATTTTCACCGTTTTATTGTCGATCTGTTTTCTCATTCTTTGCATTCATCCATGGGGACTAATTTCTCTGAATTTATTTAACTTTATTTTATGCCATGTACCTCTCTTATGGAGCCCCTGGGGAGTTGGGAAACCCATTTTTTCACCTGCAGTCTGCTGTGGCATGTGCCTGTGGCGAGTGCACTTTTAGTAGGCACTGCTGAAGCTTACAGAGTTTAAAACTTGATTTAGGCCGTTACAGCATTCACTTGTTATGGACAAATCAGCTCTAGCTGAACAATACAATGAAAAGGTACTGAGAAGTGTTACAAGATATAAACTAATTTTGGTGAATAGTTGTAAATGTTTGTCTCTAAATTGAAGGATACGTTTTATAAACATGAAGGTACAAAGGGCATGTTGCTCCAGCTGTACCTCATTAGGGTACCAATTCTGTACCTTTCCAATGGGTAAATTTTTGTCACTAGGGGTACAGAAAAGAAGGCACACAAATGTACCATGTTCAAAGACACGGTGCTTGTACCCTGCTAGGGTACCACTGGAGCGAGAAAGCATTTGTACCCTTTTAGGCCCATTCCTGTACCTTGATCTCTTAGTGCGTACACATGATGTTTCCTTCAGTGAGCACAAATCCCCCCCTTGTCTTGTCATTTGCTCCTCACACCTTCCCAAAGATATCACACCACAATGTGACTAATTGGATCTGAGAAAAGATACTGCAGATTCAAAAAACTCAGGTAAAGCAGAGGGTATGTAGCCTTTGCCTGTATTGTCAGGACTAGGACTCTGTCTTAAGGCTGTTACAATGGAAACTCCATATGCTATTTTTTGAGTACAAAACATGAACAATAATAATAATAATAATGTGTGTGTAATACTGGGTCAAAACTGCCCTCCTAGAAGAGTGGTTGGACGATTAAAGATGTGCTTTAGTCAGTCCAGATTAGCCCTAAGCTGCAGAGGTTGTGAGTCAGACATGTTGCTGAGGATCTCAGTCTTATTCCAACTAGTGTCAACTCCATCCCTCTACAAGAGGGAAAGTCGTGCCTGTCTGGGCCAAATGGGAAATGTCTCTTTCAAAATGGATTATAACAGGCATTTGCCCCTGAAGGCTGCTGAGTAGCTTGGGTTGGGATGAGAATCCAACAACTCCTACAAAGCCTCATGCAGCATGTGCCAAGTCTATATATTCCATGAGGTCTTTATGCCTCTGTACTTTGACAGTCGGTGTACTGCCATTCGGCTTTGTGTGGGGAGAAATATATACACTAGACTGTAATAACTTGATCCCAGCAGTGAGACTGAAATGATAACTCTCTGCAGAAATAGATTTTCCTCCTTGCACCTTTCCTATCTCACAGAGGCTCGCTAAAGGCTTTCTTCCTCTGATGCCATTCTTATATTGGACATACATGCTTAATATTGATAATGATGGAGGAAATGTAGCCGCATATAAGAAGCATGTCTTTTGAAATCTGCTCCAATTGTGGCCACAGGCTCTTTATGTCAGAGAGTGCAGTGGAAAATTGCCACAGCTATTAACAGAAATGAAATATTGCCTTCTTACAGCTATTCCCCTCACCTTTTACCAAAATGTCATATGTTGTAAAGAAGAAGTGTGGTGGTGTGGAGAAGTCATGTCAGCACAATGTCTGCGAACAGATAATTAACATTGCAGGTGGAATACTGATTCCTGTTTGGAATAATATGAAACTACGTCAAGAGGACTAAATCTTGCACAGTGAAAATGAAAAATCATAAGTCAAAATATATGCCAGTATATATGCCAGTTTAAAAATGAAATTCTGCAGAACTGACTTGCACACATAAATGAGATATCTGTTTAAAGTCACTGAGGAATAATGTGCCGGGGGATGAATATATTTCAAAATAGAAATTCAATTTTTCATGTTGTTAAGAAAGCACATTAATACTGGTATGGTAAATTGTATTGGTATGGTAAATTTGAATTCCATATTGAGATTTTCAGTCCTTGTTCATAGATTAAAAGTGATTACAATGCTGAGCTCTGCATTCTAAAGCAGAGGAATGTGGTGTACATTTGTGTGTGTGTGTGTGTGTGTGTGTGTGTGTGTGTGTGTGTGTGTGTGTGTGTGTGTGTGTGTGTGTGTAGGGGGTTGGGGGAGTCCTGTAAGTGAAAAATGTGCAGATCTTAGCAGAAAGCTCCTCACTGCTTTGCAGATGGCAGGTTAACTTGTCATCTTGTTGGATTGTCCATAATTTATTTATATGTGAAGTTAGTGGGTGAACAAATTAATCCACATTATTAAAGCAGTGGGTAGCATGTTGTCTGTCTGTGTATATCAGATGTTTATAGATCTAAGTATTTAGATATAGATCTAAATTTGCAACCTATCTAGCATGGTGGCCTTAAAACCATAAGACTTTAAAGTCTTAGTATTTAATGTTAACTAAATTGGCCAAATTATTTCACCAATAATTCAATAATTTTGCATTTTCCCAAAATCCTACCACATATGTGTGTTTTTTTCATTCTGTTTATATTTCTAAAACACCTTTCTGCAGTTGGATGGCATTTTGTTACATTTTATGTCTATACTATAACATTTCATCAGCTTGATCACAGTGAGTGCCTCAGGACACTGCTGAACTAAGTCATGGCCCCTACTAATAGTACTCATGTAAAATTCATAGAAAGCTGTGTCAGGGGTTATTTTCTTTGAATTAGGTCCATTTGCAGGAAAAACTGACTGATCCGCATTTGAACAGAAACAGGAATGTGTCCAGCATATAATTCTTCTGTATCTCATCTCACCACTGTTCAAAGCTTTCTCCAAAAGCAAAAAGAGGGGCTACTGAAAACTCTGGCTTGATTTTAGTTTCCATGTGAGGTGGCCTTACTGTGTACAGAATGCTGATTTTGCAAAGTTAAAGGACCAGTCTGTAGGATTTAGTAGCATCTAGCAGTGGAGTTGCCGATTGCAACTAACTGAACACCGTTCGCATCTGTTTATGGCAACCTGGGAACGGGCTGTGAAGTGTGAAGGAGAAACTACGTTGGCCCCAAATATACAGTTAGTCTACAGTCAAACATGGCAGTTCAACATGGCAGACTCCATTGAAGGCGACCTCCTAAATGTTACACACTGGACCTTTAAAGAACAACCAATTATCTATTATATGCTATCACAAAATCTCCCAGCCCCTGGGATGTCATTTTGAGATTACACCAGGTATACTGTATTTTTGCACAACATTAAGGACGCCTCTGCTGGATGTGTCACACGCAGACCTGAGACCCTATAATCCTGGTGTTGTTATGAGGTATACAGCAAATATCTGAATTACTGCTGTTGACAGGGGGAGAGGTGGTGGTATTTCTTTTCCAAGGCGGTGGGAGAGGGAATTGAGATATCATTCAAACTAAAAGCCAGCTGACTCAAGCCTCTGTTAGTGTTTATGTGGGAGAGGTCAGGGTTTCCATTCCATTCAGGTTAACTTCTGTCATATATTCTCTGCCAACGATAGGGAGAGGTTATTTGGAGGAGAATCATGAGGACAGAACAAATATAAAGTATATATGTGGGGCATTAGGAGCAAAGGTGAGAAACAACAAGGTGTTATGTCATGCACACTCCACTTCATTTGATTTAACAACCCTGCAGATAGGCAACAGTCGGTCAGATAAGACTAAATTCTAGAGAAAGCCAAAAGAATTAGAATTATTATATCAGCATAGACTACGACATAAATGAGTCACTGACTTTTTGAGTTTATTCAGTACTCATGGCACCCACACAGTTTTTTACTGCTATTAAAACATATTTAGCAACATTAGACATACAAAGAAAAAAATCTATTTAATTACCTTCCTGCCATATGTGAACAACTTTGAACACATATATTTATGATTCATCCTTTTTAACCATACTTATACATACATACATGCTTTCAGTTTTACCACTTTATTTATTCCAATATGTTAGGATGAGCTGTTTTTATTGACTTTGTCAGTAAGTTCAGATTGAAAAAAAGATTAAGAAAAGTTTGAAACCAAATCAATGAAAGAAAGGAAGGAACTGATAGGATGCTTTCTTTGAAGACATTGTGTGAATAAAACTAATCACTGAGTGGCATGTTCCCCAAAATGACTGACACATATTTTCCAACTACAGAGGAACGGCTAAAACTTTTGAATGTCTTACAGCCAACAGATCTCATTTCTACATTCAGCCTGAGGGATTGTGACAAATTATGTGTCAAGGATTTATGATGTGAGACGTAATAGGGCCACCCAGCTGGTGGAGTAAATGAATGTGCATATCTCAGTGACATCCACACATCTGCTTAGCCGCCGATGAACATGCAAGCCATGTGCAGTCACTGGCCTAATTCACTGTGCAACCTTGTACATCTACAGATGCAGTGCTTGTCCAAACATCATTCCCAGAAACAGTCCTTTACAGTTATCGAGTGACTGCATTTCCATTAAACACAGCCTTGATTGAAAAGTGGCATCATGCAACACATGTATTTCCCTCATAACTATTCAAACTAAATTTTGCTGTCATTCTTGCTGTTCAAGCCGTTTCATGATCAGAAAACACAGATCGCTTGATTTAATAATTATGTAAAACAGTTGCTGACAGGGTGATTAATTTATTTATATGAAAGGAGAAAGTGATGGATATGCCTGTCAATATTGTTAATGATACACTGCTGTTTAGAAAGGAAGATTTATTTTCTGTGTATATTGTTAATAGTTTGGGTGGGGAAAAGAATCAAACCCATAACAAAATACTTTTTTAAGTCAGATTTCCTCACTGATGATCAAATTCAAGAATGGATATCACAGCAATCGAGTACTGAGCCAGTGTTACATTTTATGGTCCAACAGAGCAGAATCATTTTAATATTTTAGTATCATTGTCAAAATATGATGGCTGAGCTGTATTTTACATGGCCAGCATGAACTCAAGGTCCCCCTGAGAGCTGGAGAGTTACACATTTTTACTGTGAGGCACATCTTTTATGCATGCCCTTTTCACACACTAGGACCCCAAAACATGAACATCTGCCAATTATGCCAACACGAAGAGCGGATCGTCAAAACTCTATCTTAACTCAGAATAATTCATGCTCAGTTCAGGGAACTCGACCGTCCACTGCCCGTGGCATTCATTTAATCCATATTAGCAAATTTTGGGCTGTAGACAGAGAGTATGTATTTAGAATTATCTTTTCAATCACAGTGAGCTCTTTATTAAACAAAGGAACTGGTTCAATTTCACTGTTCATTTCATCACCAGGTGCATGGAACAAAAGCAAGGCAGGAAGCAGCAAAGCTTAAGGACCAATCACCTCAGAATGTCACAGACAAGATAAAAGGAAGCTTGGACTTTTCATCCTTGATGTGAGGTGCTTTTAGTGTTCTGCCAGACAGCACACACACACACACACACACACACACACACACACACACACACACACACACATCTCTAACCTGTTTACTTCCTGGAAGAAGATGTAGGATCACACGGAAGACAGGGAGGGAAAAAAAAACACAACCTGGAAAAGCAGGGGGAGGGATTTATAGCTGGAAAAAATATCTATGACCCTGAGAGTTTGGCATAAAAACGATTTTGGTAGAAAAGAAATTAAATAACCTACTCCAGCCACTTGCTATGATAGCTTTTGGCTTATAAAGAGGTTATAGTGGCAGTCTAGATAATTCATGTGATTGCACTGCTCCTTCTTTTTATAGGTCCAGTACGTGTTACGTGATGTAATGGCTCTTTCCCGCTATCCACTTTTAACTCCATGGAAGAATGCATTAGTGTAATATGTAAAAACTGAATAGTGTGAGGAATAAGGTAAAGTCATGCAGTGAATGTAATCTGGACCACAACACAGACAAGGGGGCAGAAAAAGACATGGCTTTTGGTCTACTGAATAATTAAAACGATGCTTTATTGGTTTATCCTGCCTAACATGCTGTGGACAATGAGAGTGAGCTGTCCCCAGGTGAGCCATGGTGGCAGCTGCAGAGCTTGAGTAAATTGGAAAATGATAGCTGTGCAGATAATTTAATCTTAGCTTAATTAAAGGATCTACATGCAGAATGGCAGTGCAAATATTGAATGAAGTTAAAAGGCTGCAGCTATACTCTTTATATATATATATATATATATATATATATATATATATATATATAGTCTCAGAAATGTTGCTAAGTAGATAAGATTTACTGTTTAAAGCAGGATTGTGCTCATCATGCCTGATCACAACAAAACATTCTTACTTTTTAATCCTGGGGTGCTGCCTCAGGCGTCAGACTTTCTCAATTAGATGCAGATTTTATTTAGCAGCTATAGCTTCACTATGAAACATCAGGATTCCCAAAATAGCATCCTATAATCTGGCTTCTGCCGAGCGAGTATTTGATATGCAAAGTGACTGTAATAAATCGGTGTCTCCTAAGTATCTAACACCTCATAACAGCCATACCTCTCTCTGGCCTCCACCTCTGCAGGTTCTTCTGTGCTGTTCTTCACATCTTCCTGGCCAGTGTTGGCGTCCTCTTTCCTTGTGGTGCTGGGCGAGGAGCTGCTCTTTGAGGATTCCTCGTTGACCTGGAGACCCTGGATGGTGTTCTGCTGATGGTGCCATGATTGATGACCCGCTCTGACATAGACAGGTGTGGGCCCAGGCGTAGGTGCCAAGATGCTGTGGACCGGGCTGTTGGTCTTCCGTAGTCCTCCAACGCCTCTTTCCCGTGAGTGACTCTTCAGCCGGCCCTGGACTGGCGTCCCTCGGTGATCCAGGCCATCCTGCTGGATGTAGCCTCCCACCCCACCAACGCCACCGCCTCCACTGCCGGCTGAACCTTGGGATGAATGGCTGAACCAGCGCCAGCGGAGCCTGAGGATCTGCTTCACGTCAAATTCCTTCTTCCCCGACACAGACATCCTCTTCTGGGTTTGGAGACGAAGGCGATGGTACGTTGAGTCCCCAAAAACATGGAGAGCAGAGAAGAGAAGAGCCTTGGTTTCAGTCCTCACTGACTACAATGTGCCTCTTCTCTTCCGTTATTGTCTCACTACTATCATGACCACCCCCTCCTCCTTCTGATACTCCTCCGTTGTTCTTTTAGTGGAGATGGAAAGCAGTCCTCTGCAGCTTTTGTTCTTGTGCCTCAGACTACTACCCTCCCTCCAACTCTCCCTCTCTGTGTTTCTCTCTCTCTTTCCCTCCTGTGCTGCTGTTTCTGTTTGCTGCTGCTGCTGCTGCTGCTGCTGCTGCTGCTGCTGTGCCGCTGGAGCTGAGTTAATGCACATGCATGATCCACACTCCCTCCCCTTCGCCTCCCTTGTTTCGCTTTCTCTCTCCCTCTCTCTCTCTCTGCTTGTCCGCACACACACACAGAGACACATACACACTGAGAGATAGATATATATACTCTGGATATAAAATGAGAAAATCTCCCAAGCCCTGCCCAGTCCACTCCGCTGCTATTCTGTGTGTCCCTGTGTGAGCATATGTATGTGTGGTTGAGCATGTGAGCATGTGTGTGTGTGTGTGTGTGTGTGTGTGTGTGTGTGTGTGTGTGTGTGTGTGTGTGTGTGTGTGTGTGATAACAGGGCTGCCTGATCTTGCTGCGAGGGGGAGGTGGGGTATCATGGAGCCAGGATGATGAGGTCACACCTTAACAAAGTAAATCACTGCTTGCGCAAAGAGGAAGACTACTAACTACTACCAGGACTATTAGTAGGAGCTTCAAATACATTACAATGTATGTGGATACATACACATGCTCATCCATAAATAGAAAAGCAGGGGCACATTAATAACTATCTCATAAATAAACAACACACATCAAGACACTCTTAAAGGCAAGTGAAATTCATCGCATACTAATACAGCTGTGCAGTCTGCTATTCCCACATGAAACAGATTCCCGTGGGGGAATGTCTCAGCGTATGTAGCCATGCAGAAAAAATATTCTCCTTCAGCCACTGTCTTGAAAGCCCCCTGCGATTACACGTGAAAAACTACATACTGATGTACCTTCAAGGTCAGTAAGCTGCCTCTTCCCCAGTCAAGGCTTCAGAAAACACTTTTACATTTCAAAAATAGATCCTGCTTCGGTATGAGCTTAATACTGCACAATTGAAGGTTACTGAGATACCACAACTTAACTCACACTTCAGGGGCAAAGGGACAGTGGAACACTGTTCAAGGTAATTTGAGGACATATGATCAATGTTGACAGCATCACTAGCATATGAAAAGAGTTATGTATGGTGGTGATTCTAAATGCCCAGGCATACTGTAGGCTACCAGGCTACAAACATCAGAGAAGAGCTGATCATCCCTCATTCAGCGTGGAGAATGATGCAGGCTATGTGCAGAGTTTGTTTTCACATTCATCTGCTGAAGACTTTAGTCTTTAAAAAACATAAAAAAATTAAATATTTGCAATTTACACGACTGGGATGTGGAAACTTGTTTCCTTAAGTGTGCATACACTGAGAATTTTCTTTGCTTGTGTCCAAAACATTTGCATTTTCAGAGATTCAGGATTTTTGAATCATTGTTTGCCTGCTGATCCTCATTTCCAAAAAAGATGAGAAGAACTCCTGCTGTATGGTATCGTGTCAACACTATTGGATCTGGGTGTTTTAGATACTCTCTGCTGTCAATCCAGTTGTAAGAACAAACTGTATACAGTATGGTGGTAACTGAATTTAAAAATGAATTGATAACACAACAAACCTTATCCTATCTACTTGATACTTCCATAGCAACTGGTCAGGAATTTGGGATTTCTACATTGGAATAACTCGATCAAGGTTAATGTTCTGCACCTAAGCTCCCAATTAATACAGTGTCTTAATGGTTTTCATCACTACAAGCTTACACACTGACATTATAAAATTGCAGTGACCTTAACTCTTATTTCTGTGAAAAATAGATGAAAACTACTGCTGCTACTACTACTACTCATTTCCACTTCCACGACAAGAGAGGAGAACCTTGCACTCAACCTCTCAACCTCTCATCCGCCTCCACCACCTCCCACTGCAGGTTTGAAAGAGTGGAGGAAAGTAGCTTTTGTGTCCACTAGTATCTCCTAAACTGCTCATATTATCAGGACAGGCATTGATCTGATCTATAAAAATATGCTTAAATATCTTCCACTCAGAGACTGCACATCACCTGCATTCTCTGATTATAAATAACATATCTAAAGCAGAGGAAGACACTTTTTATCGCAAATGTTCATGCCTCATTGACAGAACCAATTTACAGCTAAGTAGTCCTTCCTACTAACATTAGATAAGAATATCGTTTTGTGTTCTTCACACAAACAACAACACAGATTATGATAACTACGAGACAAGGATTTTCCCACAACTGTTTTAAGATCAGGTCAATGCATTATTCACAATGAACTGTATGGTAGAAACTACAGGAGTTTGAAAGACTGCATGAAGTGTGTGGATCATCTTGAATCAACATTCAAGAGTTACAATAAGGATGGATGAGCTTCAAACATTATTTTCACAGTCAAGAGGCAACATACAGATTTTTTTAGAGAGCGCTTTCTCTGCTTATGAATATATTTTATATTGTATTAGGTTGTTTTTTTTTAGCAAAAAGGACCAGTGTAGAGTAACTGGGGATTCTGATAATTGAAAGGGTGCTTAAATGTGTTATATCCAACCACAACACCCCAGTTGCTCTGGGGTTTCCTTTGTCTGCAAAGGAAGCCATCTTGGTTTGCTGGACCTTTGACTTCACCTTTTGACATTTACTATTTCACAACAGGGATCATCTTTAATTTCATAACTAGAATAATGATTACCATCAATTCAATCCAGCAAGACCTTTGGAGTATTTATTGATCACAGGTTTGATTATGTTCCACACACTTCTTTATGGTGATGTACTAAATGATGCCATAACCAGCCGTAAGAACATGCAATACATTATGTTTACATGTACATAAAAGTGTGGTGTTAAACTCACTCTGCTGTTCTACAACCTGAATAGGACACTCTTTACTACAGGCATTAAAAAGGTAAATAATAATTTTATTGAACTGAACATAATGATAAGGATTATAACTGCCCACTTAATTTCATAACTAATATGTTGTCTAATTATGTTGATTCTTGGTTTCATAGTAATCCTTCACTAACTTCCATCTTTTAACACATACATTAATCACAAAATGTCATTATCTGTCAACTGATAAAAACAGAGACTTTAATATCCCCTCTGTTTTTGTCATTGCACAAAAAATTCTCCTCTTATGTCCCACGTGAATTTATTTTAGTCCAGGGGACACTTGATATTCCTTTGCACTTGATACCTAATCTAACATGATAAAAAATGCTGTATTATACCCAAAACACATTCATTCTAAAAATGAAAGTGAGAAAAAAAGTAATTCCCTTAAACTTATCAGTCAGTGAAAACATGCTCGTATTAACAAATGTTTCCAAATCCTTCTAATCTTCAGTGTACTATCTACCAGTACATGCAAATGGATTCTAAATGAATTATATTATTATTAAATAGGGTATTTTGAGGACGCTATGTCTATACAGTCTAGGTGTATCATTATAATAAAGGTCCATTAGAGTGAGATAAGATCTAATGTATAGTAGAAACCATCACACTGGGTAACCTCTTTTATTCTTGCAGAAGTCAAGGACACCATCTGGCTGCACTCCGCATGACACATGAGATGTCAGATGTCAGACTGGTGTGGTAAACCACATTATCATCCAACATCTGCCTCCCCAGTGAACATACCTACGTGCGTAGATTGGTGGATATTCTCTGCTTGCACCAGTAATCAAGCTGTAAGTTAAATGCTTTAAATGATATTAAAAGGGGATTGTGTTATACATACATTATGTAATGTAAATCAATGGAAAGCCAAGAACCATGTAAAGAAAACATATACATAGGATATATATATAGGATATATATATATACATTGTAATCACAGGGTTATACCATTGTGAAGTATTCTGCTGTGTGGGATACACGTGTGAATGGGAACCACCTCCATCCCAAGCTACAACTGTAAACAAGATCCTAGCAAATATCTTGCTTATGCTTCCAAGAAAGATTAAGAAAAGGCCTTGCATGTCAATGTGTATGGTGGGCTGTGATATTTTAAAAATGTCTGAATATTGACCATATTCATAAGACTATAGCTCATAAAATAAAATGCAATGACAAACGCAACACGCACTAACACATGCTCACATATTTACGAGCACTTGCAGAGTGTGCACACATATAAATGATGATTCACAGCAATATCAAATACTATACTACATCCCTGACCTGATATGTCCATGACCAGGGTGCAGGGATGGGTTGCAGCCTTTCACCCACTGGAGGTCAGGAGAGACAAGTTAAAAATGTATGAGAAAATTATGTTTAATGTTCCATTTATGGCTGAACCAGTCGAGGTTACTGTACCTTCTGAATCAATAGCATACACTGCTTTAGGCACATCTGAACATAACCAAGGACATACCATAACCAGAATGCACAGTAAAAATACTATGGAACTGAGGAACTGACCTGAGAAATGCAACTGGATAAACGTAAAAATGTTGGTCATCATTTGTGGTAATAAATAAATGTATTTGAAGCTTTTGTGAAAAATACATGCTACATTTGAAGAAATGTTTGGTCTTACCTGAGAAATTGATTTACTCCTCACCATTCAAAGGGTGTAATGATCTTTTAAAATGGATGGCTAATAAGGACGACTTGCATTAATCCAATAACTTACACATCACATCTGTGCAAGACTGTTCCAACTTTTTCTTCTCCCGTGTCTCTCTTTGAGCACAAAGCCTCTCCAGAAAGGAAGGGGGCACTTTCCTCTTTTAAAGGAAATTCCTGATAAGTTCCTTCCTCTGCACTGCAACAACAAGCAACCAGGAACACCAGGATCACATCCTGTAATTGAGGCAGAACACTGCTTTCACAAAGCCTCCCTATAAACCATGTTTCTGGAACACTTGTGTTAATACATTTTAATGTGACCAAGCTATCTAACTGCCACCTGATAAAACCAATATTAATGAAACTAGTTGATATCTGTGTTTTGCAAATACAATTATGTATAATGTTAAATAAAGACTAATCAATAATAATAAAATGTTTTAAAACTGCATATGATTATGCAGCTTTTGTTTGAATCTCTATGTTTGTGATAAAATATAGCTCAGTCAATTCATCCCAAAAGGTTTTTTTAAGACTATATTAACAAGTGTTACAAGCGGTGCTGTAATATAATTCAACCACTGGGTGGCATATCTAACATTTTCACAGTTCACAGTTATTAAGTGCAAGGGCATAAAAGATTTTTGTTTTGCCAAAAATGTTATATATTTAACTATTATATACATTCCCACATTAGCCAAATTTAAATGATATGATGATGAAGTAAACACTTCAGTAAGTAAATTAAGTGAAGTCAGTAAATGATTCATGTCTGTAAATGAAGTGTTATTTTTTATTCTATGCAGAATCATATCGTATTAACACAACTACCCAACACAACTGTACAATAAAGTCGAATTGCAGTTGTGTGAATGATTCTCTAAGTCACAAAGATGGAAGTAAAATGTTTTTATATCAAAGTAAAATCTGTTAAGGAAGATGGCTAATTGTGTCTATTTCCATGTCCTTAAAGCAGCTATAACTGATATTTTGATAACAATGTATCAGATGTATGAAATGGGCCGCTCGTAGGTTCCGAACCAATTTATGTTTGGTCGAATGGTCGAAATGGTGCGAATGGTTCAAAACTAGGTGCTTGAACCGGAACAGAGCCAGTTCCCTGTTGGTGGGAAAGGCCGGCAGCAGCAGCAGGCAGTAGTTTTCATTTAGAAGGCTCTTAAACCATAAACCTGTACACTATCTGCTCAACACTAAACAGCAACACAGTGGGCATTTAGTAGCTAATGAGTAAGATATTTCCAAGTTGGGAGAGACTTAAATATCTCTTTCTTATTCATGAATAAAGAGCATATGCTCAGAGATGCTTTTTGGCATCTAGTCTTTGACCTTTGTCACCAAGCTTAGATAGATTGAGGATTTAGATTGGATTTCATTTTCAACACCTCGTTCACATAGGCCGCCTAAGCAGCGTGTGCCGTTTCCGGTGTGTGACTGCTGCGTCTGGCACGCTTGTGGTGTTCACACTGAGAGCGTATCAGCTGCATGGCTGCAGCACAGTTGCTGATGTCAGCCCTGTGTTTACTCATACACTTTTCTTTGTACAATGTCCATGAAAAGGCACATTTTTCATATAATTTAATTTACTTGCCATATATATGTAGTTTAAATGTAAATGTGAAGTTGTAACCAGAAAACAGTCACCTGTAGTTTCTTTACGAAAGAGAGAGAGAGAGAGAGAGAGAGAGAGAGAGAGAGAGAGAGAGAGAGAAAGAAAGAAAAAAAGGGGGGGTATAGGTCTCAAATAAAAATCCAGATGTCTGAACAAGCTGTTCTGTTAGCAATGCACCAGATATCAAATAGTTATAAGCTACACTGGCAATGAGCATACGCAAGACATTTACTAGTAGTAGTACTGTATTTAAATACAATTATGAGGTACTTGTATTTTAAAAATTCTAATTTGTCAAACATGAAGAGGCATTGATTTATATGTTTATTGAGACAGGCATGACTGTGAGTAATTTTTTTTGTATTGTAATACCTATTCTGAACTTCTTAAATCTTGCCCCTGACAAAAAAATATATATATATTATAATATAAAAACCTAAAACGAACTAAAAACTAAAACAAATGAGTGATACTAATGTGGAAGGGAAGACAACAGAAGGCAAGCACTAGGACCCAGTAAGAGGGGCAGAGTCTCTAAAAAGGGGAGGGAAGCTCACCTGCCCCTTTCACTCATGCTGTTAGACACACCTGAGAGAGCAGCTGAGGCCTGCCTTTGTTAGGTTTGGTAAAACATAATGTTAATATTGTATGTTTAGAAAAGTGAAATGTTTTTTAAGTTCATTTTATTAAATTAAAGATGTGAAAAGAACTGTTATTTATTAGATCCTTCATGTTGGTTAACGTCTAAAAGCTTTGAGCGATTGTTTGAACACATCAGCCAACAGGGGGTAGAGTAGCCATCTTGCATGTGTGCTTTGTGTGGTTTTAGTCAACTTAGCTTGCTATGTGTAGGTAGGTACATTGAATGCTGTTGAATAGTTCTGATTTGGTTTAAATTGTTTTGTGTGCATGGTTTATTCCTAATTTGCCTACCTATTTTGCTACAATTAATTTTATGCTTAACTCTACAACTACCTAGTTGTACAGCCTAGCCCCAAATTGTGTATTTCTTTTGTTGACTTAGTTTTGATTTATGTATGAATTATACAATTTACTCCCTTTCCTAACTTCTTATGTGTTGTAAATAAAATCTATATTTTGGTACAGCAGTCTCTGGTTCAAGGTTATTTTGGCACCTTTGCATTGAGTAGCACTGACTCACACTGACTCACACATTACTATGCGTGGCCACGAGATAGTAACGTGTGGATAATTATTGCAGTCATTTCCATGCAGAGACTGTTGATTGTTAACATGGACAAGTTTGAATTAATTTCGGCGATTTATGTGGCGAAAGTGCGGCATCTTTGACAATAAATAAATGTGCGGACTTTGGCTGATTATGCATTGAATTATGCGATCGCATAATTGCGTTTTTTTTGGAGGGACTGCATTTAGCATTACCAACAGTGACATGTCCGGCTTCACTTAGACGTAAGCTCCTCAAGCCCATCATAGCATTATTATTGACATTACACTCGACATGACAATAATAACAAAGCTACTCTTGAATAGAAAAGCAGACTATAAACTACCTTTATTCATGAATAATAAACAGCATCACTGACAGCTCCATATGGATAACCATCCCGCTACTGAAGGTGAACTATCTCGTGGCCGTGCATTAACTATCTCGTGGCCACGCGTTATTATCTCGTGGCCACGCATTAACTATCTCGTTGCCACGAGATAATAAGGCATGGCCACGAGATATTAATGTGTTGCCACGCTTTTTTTTTTTATCCAATGTTACCAGGGGGGCTCCGTAGGAAGGGACTGTAGCTAAAATTAATATAAAAATTTAAAAACTACAGATAAATAAAAGTTCATTAAAAAGGGCTGTCCCCTAGTCAACTAAACCATTGCTCATCGAGAAGAGTCTTACTCAACCCACTTTTCATTTGTTGGTTAGTCGCAGAAAAACAAAAACAATGTTACTTAAAAAGACCTTTGCTCTTGTAACACAGAAAGTGTCTTACCGGTGCTCTCTATGACTCTGCGCTGTTTCCACTAGCTAGCGGTCCTATTAGCTGACTCAAGCTCCAAGTCCCGGATATGAGCACTAGTGCCATTGTCAGGCAAGCGGGCAACAGAGCCGGCGTTAGCAGGGGTATGACGATATGTGGGACCAGACACAGCCTCCGACAATGGAGGGGATTTACTGCTGGCTTATTAACAGCCGGATTATTTACAGTGGCACCAACAAGGACTATGACTCCGGGATGATAAAGACACAGCAGGTTCAGGCAGGGGTAGGAGAGGTTTTAAGAAGCGAGAGGATCAATTTTGTTTGGAGCTGATTTGTAAGTAACGTTATACATCATCCATTGTGGTGAATTCCACAATTATTTGGTTTGGGAAGTTGGAAGTTATTTATTCAATTCAATTGAATTCAATTCAATTCAATTTTATTTGTATAGCGCCAATTCATAACAGAAGTTATCTCAGGACACTTTTCAAATGGAGCAGGTCTAGACCGAACTCCTTATAACATTTACAGAGACCCAACCGTACCACCATGAGCAAGCACTTGACGACGGGGGCAAGGAAAAACTGCCTGTTAAGAGGCAGAAACCTAGGACAGACCCTTCGGCTTTAGGTGGGTGGTCGTCTGCCCCGACCAGTAAGGGTAAGAGAAAGAGAGAGAGAGAGAGAGAGAGACAGACAGACAGACAGACAGACAGACAGTTGCACAGCAACAACAATTATTATTCCGTGTTTTGAAGAATGAGACTCAAACAACACAATTTCTGATACTGGGTAACAGACAAAATCATGGTGACAATTGTGTGTGCACAATTTAATCTGCTTTAGTTTGCTTCAAGAATTTATATTATGTCATTAACCCATATGGAGGTCCTGAAGTCGGCACTGTAATGCAGAAGTCTCTATAAACTCGACTGGGAATTCTGAGAGGCAATGGAAAACACCTGAGCCTTTCCATCTTCCATGATATCGGTGTCAATAAAGGCTACCAGGAGGTCAGCAAAGCAGTTACCCCTTCGCACTACATGATGACCTTGGCTTTGATTCCTCCCAAGGCAAAGTGCCATCCAGTTCCACTCACTGAGTGATGCTCCAACAGTTACTTAATGATATAATATGTGACATCTTTGCATTAAAATGTATATAAACACTGTACCCATGTCATATATTTTACTTAGTTGTGTACTGACATTATTCCAAACGTTTTCCAAACGTTTTCCAACAACATTTAACCCGAAAGAAATCCCTCATTTTATATAGGTGCGTTTCACCAGTTGCCTATCAATGATGTAATATCCTCTTCTGTGCATGTGTCACCGTTGTGGTTGTCTGCCAGAAGCTGTCATAAAAATTGATCTAGTTTAAGTCACATTCTTAAAGTTCCCTTTTTAGATCTTGATAATTTTTTATATTTAAAGTGGATGAACGATTTTAGTCATCGGACGTCTGGAGTTACTGGCTCCGGTGACATTTTTAAGGCAAAATTATTTTGGTGTTTTTACCGGTTTTAATCACAGACTTTAATCACGATTTCCAGAACTTCTCAATCTTAAGTTATTAGAGAAACAAGCTAAACTAACAGTAGAAGCAGGCCCACCAGGAAGTTGTTTGTCAGTCAAACAGCGACAGAGAAACACAGATTTTTAAGGTTAAACGGCTGTATTTGTTTTTTAACACTGAAGGAATCCTAGTTGGGAGAAGCTGACCGCAATTATGATGAAGACAACAACTCCCATGATCCCACGTAACTTCACAAAGTCATTATACTTTGTCTTTTGTTATTCTTTTGCTGTGACCCTCTAGCGGCAGAAATTACATATTTTACATATAATTGTTGAGCAGCATATATATTTTAGGGCTCAGGAATAACATATTCACCTTTACCTTGGTCTTCTTGTCCTTGCTCTATCTTGATTAATTCAGTTGTCATTTGGTCTTTACTTAGATCTTCAACATACAGTCCTCTTCCTTGTTAATTTCTTTCATCTATGATATGGTCACTTTAAGCATCTGTATATTTGATATCTCTACAGTTTGACATCTGATTCCTGTTGTTAAAAAAAGTCAATAGTTACGACCTCTGAGTCTGATGCCTCAGTTTGGTTGGACTCCTGTGCAACATTTCAGTAAGTTTTCAGATATTAAATCTATGCCTCATTTTACCCATTTCAAGTTCTACAAGAAATGAGTCTATGCTGTGTGGCTCATTTTTTTTCCTTTGTGTGAACAACAAAATGAGCAAGACACTTATAGCAACAACAGCTTAAGGCACTTACCATATCTAATTTATAAAACATGAATGAAATTTCCCATGGACTGGGCATGCTTTAATACTGCAGCAAAATGTATCAGGGTTCGTTGAGCCACAGAATCAATGCAAATATGAATTGGTTTGTGGTTTGCATGCTCTTTAGTAAATGTGTGACATGTTTATGACATTGTTCATCAATAATTACAATATACACATCTACCTGATTGTTTATGGCTATAGACTGCAACTTGTTACCATGTAATTTATTGTGAACGTGGTTGAACCCCATGATAAGGTACTGCAAGCCGAGAAAATATACATAAATCCAAGTAATATTCATATAAGACCAAAATTAGGCTACTTTTAGTTCAACGGGACCTTCTTGCTAGATTGCAGGTGTTTGTTGCCATTTTGCCATGTGTCATAATAGCTTATGATCTTACATCTATGTATGTTTATTGTATATGTCATATGTATGCCCAAAGGTATCACCAGTGAACCACTGCAGGACATTCTTAATTGTATAGATAGTTTCAACATTTTCCATATGATCTTTTTGTTTGTTTATGATTTTTTTTTTTCTGGTATTCCACGGTCCAACAGAAATTTCAGCAAGTTGTTCTCTCTCCTCATTTCATATGTAGCCTGAAGGCAAAATGTAATACAATTTATTGATTTAGCTTCAAGCTGTAACAGTAACAGCTTGAAGCTAACAGGTTTTCAGAAAAGAAGCTTCCACAGACAGAGGAGAAAAAATCACAACAAATTAGTGATAGAATCATTATTTAAAAAAAAAAAAAGAAAGAAATTAATTCATTCATATGGAATAACATAAAGGAATCACAAAGTTGTCTAAACAGAATCTAAGGCTATAAGGCTAGTTTCTACTGACTTCAGCATCAGGGTCTGGAAAGTCATGTACTGTATCCCTTCACTGTAAATAACTTGATTGTTTCATTCTTATTCAGTAGGTGAACTACCTGGTGAATTAATAGTTTGGAGAGTGGGTCGCCACAGAGAGCGAGTGCCTACCCTAGTGAGGAAGAGATAACAGCTGAAAACTGCTTTTTAATAGATTTTTAAACAGCTTCAACCCCAGCAGAATTATAGGTTTATAATCTTGAATATAAAAGTGTAAATGTACGGAGCCCCTAAAGGGACATGGGAGGAAAAAAAAAGAAACGTTTCATTTATTTTTTTTCCCCATGTCCCTTTAGGGGCTCCGTATAAATGATCTTTATTCAGTGCATAATAAAAAGCATCACTCCAAAACTGAAATCCCACCACATCTTGAACTTGGCTACAACATAATCATCTTGTTCCCACGCATTATTAATTTGTGGCCACGCAATATATTTTATATTATCAAAATCAAATCTTTTTTTAATTCAATACTTACTGATTGCGTTGTTACCATTTTATAACCATAGTGGATTTATAACAAAGTGATATGAAATGTACACATATAGGCACAGGCCATATAAAATGTTTCATTTGCTTAACAAATTTGAAACTTCTGGCTCAGACATAAAGATGACAAAGAAAGCAAAAATAGCTAAATCCAGGCTTCATAACTCTCCTCGGAAACCTACAGGTGATGTCACAGTCTTTGACTATTGTCAGAAGGGAGTACAGCAAGTAGCTTACAAATTTGACTGCAATGCTGATATTTTGCTGACATTAAGTGTCCTATCATCAATCAGTTAAATATAAGGAGTTTTTACTGCAACGAGTTTCATGTTTCTGGTTTGGTAATAGCATGCTGTCATCATACTCTGGGTTCTTTCAAGATATCTTTTATTGCATTTTTATTTAACTTTCTAACCTAATTATAATTTAACCAATATGCAGTAGATATGCAGACTAGACACCCTTGCTCCACTAATTTGCACTTCTTCACAGTAGTTATGGCTGCTGCATTATCTCTGCTATTTCATATGGTATTCAGTTCATTTTATTTATTGAGAATAAAAACTGGACCTATGGGAATATATCCTTAATCCATCAAACATCTAGAAATAGACCTGAGCCCGCTGATTATATTTGTTTTGCAACTCTTCTGTATGCCATGCTGTATGAAGGCACTGTATATGTTCATTGTGAAAGAATATATCTAGATTTTTATAAGTGGAGTGATACAGTCCGTTTTGTGTATGAACTGTTCTCTGGATTTAATGTATCCATGTATCCAGTGTATCTGCATCAGTCGGGTAAACAGTGTATGAGTCAAATGATAATTCAAGCTGGATTCTGTATGATTCCTAATGAGTGTATCCTAATCAAAAACAAGTAATAATAGCTTGAATAAAATGTAATGTGGAACAAAATACAGATGAACCCATTCAAGTATAGTCCATATCATATCACATGATTAAGGCACTCACAAATACTGACTTAAGAAGCCTAATAAATTCTATAATTTTTTTATTTAGTTTATTCAGCAGAATGCACACAAAAGAATAGACCATGAATCATGCTTTATCTCCATTAAATTTCTATTAACACAGATTTTGTTTGCAAACAAATGACATCAAAAAGTGACTGTGATTTTTTTGTTTATGTAATCATGTGTGTACAAACAGAGTGACAGCAAATGAAAACAATAATAATAAAGAGGATCATAAAACAGGTAAGCATGAAAATGATACAGGATTAGGAGGCAAAACATGTTTAAAACAACTGAAGGAGATGCATATTTTTTGTAAATTGCCCAGAATTTGAGTGTCAATAAAAAACAGAAAAGTACTGACAGCTCTTTAAAGAGCTGATAGTTTCAAAACAATGATTGCAATTATGGTATATACAACACCACCACAAAATCTTCTGCACTGATTATAAAATGTCAAAGCTTGAAAATAAAATAATGTCATATATAAACTGTTAACTGTTTATGTTTGTGTCTGGGTGTATAAACAACATTTTCCTTCAACATAACTATTGTAACTATCTGTTGTGCAATAGACCCCTGGATACAAATATACCACACCCATTCATTAACAACATTCATTTAATAGAATGAGATAGGACACATTGACAAACCCTCTAATAAACTATTGGTGAAAATTTGGTGAGGTTGCATATGTTCAATAAATCTGGACTATATACAAAAACAATATTTATTATTACAATACAAATTAATCTTATTTACAGTTTGAATGGATTTTAAACATTCTCATGCACTTCTGTCTAATTGCTGAAAAACTGAAGAACTACTCGTACTTGAACATTGAGATGAAATGTGTACGTCCTTTAGGTTTTAAAGAACTTAAGTTTGAAGATTTTGCCTTATTAGTAGAGGGTATTTGGGTGTACATGAGAGAGTTTAATTTGCTTCATAATTAATTATTTTTTCGGTGAAACAGATAGTTCAAGTCTTGGAAACCTGAAACCACTTCTTGAACCACTGTCACTGCTGGAAGATGAAGACAATCTTGATTTTTTAGAGTGTACAGAAACACCTGCCGCACTTCCCTCCACTCCTACTTCACTGTCTTCACCAAGTGTCACTTCATATGAGCCCTTTGACTTTGAACCAAAACCTCCGAAAGTGCCAAACTTTAACTTGCCTTTCTTTCCCTTGGCCTTGCTTCCTCCTAGGTCTAATGAAATGTCACCACCCTCAGCTTCCAAGTGAGTGGAAGGAGAACTAACTGCAAGCCCCCCCTCATCACTCAGGGAGGAGGATCGATGCCTTGATTTCTTAAATAGATCCAGTGAGGCTGACTTGCCTTTCGTTGACACACTGAGTCCAGAGTCACCTTCTAATTCTAATTTCCCACCCATCTGTTTCCCAGTATGTACACTTAGGTCTTTTCCACTTGCACTCAGTTCTACCTCTGACCCCTGAAGATCACCTACACTACTGCCCTTTGGTTTTGATTTGCCAAACAATTTTGGCATCTTTACCTTTACTTTGCCTTCACTGTGCCTCAGTTCTGGGCTGGGAACCTCAATGTTTTGTGAACTGACTTGGCAACTCACAGATGGAGACTGCATGTTTATGCCTCCACTAGCTGCAAGTTCTGATTCAACATTTCCTCCACCTTGCTGCCCCTCCAACAGAGGCAGAGCAATACCAAATTTTGGGACCTTCAGTTTGGGAAATGTTACAATACCCTCTGGGTAATGAAGGCCACCACTTACACTGCCTCCTGAAACACTTGCATCAGTCTCTGCACCACCTTTCACATTTACTTTCTGGCCTTTAAAACCTGCAGACATGGTTGCCTCTCCGTGTCTGTTTAGATTTGCATCAACATCAGGAGCAGACAGGTTCACATTTGGCATTTTAATATTAGGAGTCTTTAATTTCACATCTGGCCCTTCCAAGCTAACATTTGGACTGTCAATGGTGGTCTTTAAGCTACCAGATGACAAATTTAGATCAGGTGATTTTAATCCCTCTGATAAAGATCCATCGCCTTTCAATTTTGGTGATTTGATATCCAGCTCCACATCAGGAAAATGAAGCTTACCAAAACGATGCTTCTTTGCCTTTGTTCCTTTGACATGGATATTGGGTGTGTCTATATCCAAGTTCACTGCTGGTGTTTCGAAGTCAGCATCAGGTTTCTTCGCCTTTCCTTTCACTTTAGGAAGTTTAAATTTACCCTTTTTGCCCTTTACATGTATATCAATATCAGGGGCATCAAGGCTTGCTTCAGTATCTGGGAGACTAACTTCTGATTTGGAAGCCTTTGCTCCCACACTGAACTTGGGTGCCTTAAACGTGGAATCAGGGCCCTCCACTTCTGGGGATTTCATTCCAAACTTAGGACCTCTGAACTTGGGAAATGTAACACCTGTCTTTACAGGATCAATGGACACACCTTCCATAGTGATGGTGGGTGCTGCAATGTTAGCATTTGCACCTTTGATGTCTCCTTCCAATTTGGGCATTGATACACCCATCTTTCCTTTGACTTTAGGCCCTTTTACACCGATATCTAGATCAGGTGCTTTTACATCAATGTTTGCTTTGGGAAGGTTTATATCAACATCTGGTCCTTCTACTTTTGGACCTTTGAAGCCAAAGGATGGCATTTTCATTTTAGGCATGTCGAATCCACCTTTTGGACCTTCAATATCAACTTCTGGACATTTGATGTCAACATCAGGTGCTTTCACATCAATGTTTGCTTTGGGCAAGTTTAAATCAACGTCAGGTCCCCTTATGTTTGGACCTTTGATGTTCAATGATGGTATTTTGATATTGGGCATGTCAAATCCACCTTTTCGCCCTTCAATATCAACCTGAGGACTTTTGATGTCAACTTCAGGTGTTTTTATATCTCCCTCTATTTTAGGAGCAGACAAATCCATGTCACCTTTAAGTTTAGGACCTTTCAGATTGAAATCCACATTTGGCATTGAAAGGTTTGGTCCTGAGATAGTTGGCATCTTGAATTTTGGTCCCTTGATTTTACCACTCGGACTCTCAATGTCAATGCCTGGTCCTTTGATGTCTAACTCAGGGCCTTTAATATCAATGTCGCCTTTAGGAAGGCTGAAATCAACTTCTGGCCCTTCAACATTTGGACCTTTCATCCCAAATGATGGCATTTTCATCTTGGGCATTTTAAATCCTCCTTTGTGGCCCTCAATGTCAACTTCTGGTCCTTCAATATCCACCTTGGGTGCTTTTATGTCTCCCTCAATCTTTGGAACTGACACATCCACATCTCCTTTTACTTTGGGCCCTTTCAGACTCATATCCCAATCGGGCAGTGTGGGTCCTGATAACGATGGCAGCTTAAATTTGGGTCCTTTCAGTTTTCCATCAGGACCTTCAACATCAACTTCTGGCCCTTTGATGTCAATACCAGGAGCTTTAACATCTATGTCGGCTTTGGGAAGATTTATATCAACATCTGGACCCTCCACTTTTGGACCTTTGAAACCAAATGATGGCATTTTGATTTTCGGCATTTCAAATCCACCCTTAGGCCCTTCGATATCAACATGTGGACCTTTGATGTCAAAATCAGGTGTTTTTATGTCTCCTTCAATCTTTGGACCTGACACATCAAGATCACCTTTGATTTTGGGACTTTTCAGGTTGAAATCAACATCTGGCATGGAAATGTTTGGTCCTGAGATAGTTGGCATCTTGAATTTTGATCCCTTGATCTTACCACTCGGACTCTCAAAGTCAACGCCTGGTCCTTTGATGTCTAACTCAGGGCCTTTAATATCAATGTCACCTTTAGGAAGGCTGACATCAACTTCTGGCCCTTCAATATGTGGACCTTTCATCCCAAAGGTTGGCATTTTAAACTTAGGCATTTTAAATCCTCCTTTGTGGCCCTCAATGTCAACATCTGGTCCTTCAATATCCACTTTAGGAGCTTTTATGTCTCCTTCAATCTTTGGAACTGACACATCCACATCTCCTTTTACTTTGGGCCCTTTTAGACTCATATCCCAGTCTGGCAGTGTAGGTCCTGATAACGATGGCAGCTTAAATTTGGGTCCTCTGAGTTTTGCGTCAGGACCTTCAACATCAAATTCTGGCCCTTTGATGTCAATACCAGGAGCTTTAACATCTATGTCGGCTTTGGGAAGATTTATATCAACATCTGGACCCTCCACTTTTGGACCTTTGAAACCAAATGATGGCATTTTGATTTTTGGCATTTCAAATCCACCCTTAGGCCCTTCGATATCAACATGTGGACCTTTGATGTCAAAATCAGGTGTTTTTATGTCTCCTTCAATCTTTGGACCTGACACATCAAGATCACCTTTGAGTTTGGGACTTTTCAGGTTGAAATCAACATCTGGCATGGAAATGTTTGGTCCTGAGATAGTTGGCATCTTGAATTTTGATCCCTTGATCTTACCACTCGGACTCTCAATGTCAACGCCTGGTCCTTTGATGTCTAACTCAGGGCCTTTAATATCAATGTCACCTTTAGGAAGGCTGACATCAACTTCTGGCCCTTCAATATGTGGACCTTTCATCCCAAAGGTTGGCATTTTAAACTTAGGCATTTTAAATCCTCCTTTGTGGCCCTCAATGTCAACATCTGGTCCTTCAATATCCACTTTAGGAGCTTTTATGTCTCCTTCAATCTTTGGAACTGACACATCCACATCTCCTTTTACTTTGGGCCCTTTTAGACTCATATCCCAGTCTGGCAGTGTAGGTCCTGATAAAGATGGCAGCTTAAATTTGGGTCCTTTGAGTTTTGCGTCAGGACCTTCAACATCAAATTCTGGCCCTTTGATGTCAATATCAGGTGCTTTAACATCTATGTCGGCTTTGGGAAGATTTATATCAACATCTGGACCCTCCACTTTTGGACCTTTGAAACCAAATGATGGCATTTTGATTTTCGGCATTTCAAATCCACCCTTAGGCCCTTCGATATCAACATGTGGACCTTTGATGTCAAAATCAGGTGTTTTTATGTCTCCTTCAATCTTTGGACCTGACACATCAAGATCACCTTTGATTTTGGGACTTTTCAGGTTGAAATCAACGTCTGGCATGGAAATGTTTGGTCCTGAGATAGTTGGCATCTTGAATTTTGGTCCCTTGATTTTACCACTCGGACTCTCAATGTCAACGCCTGGTCCTTTGATGTCTAACTCAGGGCCTTTAATATCAATGTCGCCTTTAGGAAGGCTGACATCAACATCTGGCCCTTCAATATGTGGACCTTTCATCCCAAAGGTTGGCATTTTAAACTTAGGCATTTTAAATCCTCCTTTGTGGCCCTCAATGTCAACATCTGGTCCTTCAATATCCACTTTAGGAGCTTTTATGTCTCCTTCAATCTTTGGAACTGACACATCCACATCTCCTTTTACTTTGGGCCCTTTTAGACTCATATCCCAGTCTGGCAGTGTATGTCCTGATAACGATGGCATCTTAAATTTGGGTCCTTTGAGTTTTGCGTCAGGACCTTCAACATCAAATTCTGGCCCTTTGATGTCAATATCAGGTGCTTTAACATCTATGTCGACTTTGGGAAGATTTATATCAACATCTGGACCCTCCACTTTTGGGCCTTTGAAACCAAATGATGGCATTTTGATTTTTGGCATTTCAAATCCACCCTTAGGCCCTTCGATATCAACATGTGGACCTTTGATGTCAAAATCAGGTGTTTTTATGTCTCCTTCAATCTTTGGACCTGACACATCAACATCACCTTTGAGTTTGGGACCTTTCAGGTTGAAATCAACGTCTGGCATGGAAATGTTTGGTCCTGAGATAGTTGGCATCTTGAATTTTGGTCCCTTGATTTTACCACTCGGACTCTCAATGTCAACGCCTGGTCCTTTGATGTCTAACTCAGGGCCTTTGATATCAATGTCGCCTTTAGGAAGGCTGACATCAACTTCTGGACCCTCAATATTTGGACCTTTCATCCCAAAGGTTGGCATTTTAAACTTAGGCATTTTAAATCCTCCTTTGTGGCCCTCAATGTCAACATCTGGTCCTTCAATATCCACTTTAGGAGCTTTTATGTCTCCTTCAATCTTTGGAACTGACACATTCACATCTCCCTTTACTTTGGGCCCTTTCAGACTCATATCCCAATCTGGCAATGTAGGTCCTGATAAGGATGGCAGCTTAAATTTGGGTCCTTTGAGTTTTGCGTCAGGACCTTCAACATCAAATTCTGGCCCTTTGATGTCAATATCAGGTGCTTTAACATCTATGTCGGCTTTGGGAAGATTTATATCAACATCTGGACCTTCCACTTTTGGACCTTTGAAACCAAATGATGGCATTTTGATTTTTGGCATTTCAAATCCACCCTTAGGCCCTTCGATATCAACATGTGGACCTCTGATGTCAAACTCTGGTGTTTTTATGTCTCCTTCAATCTTTGGACCTGACACATCAAGATCACCTTTGATTTTGGGACTTTTCAGGTTGAAATCAACATCTGGCATGGAAATGTTTGGTCCTGAGATAGTTGGCATCTTGAATTTTGATCCCTTGATCTTACCACTCGGACTCTCAAAGTCAACGCCTGGTCCTTTGATGTCTAACTCAGGGCCTTTAATATCAATGTCACCTTTAGGAAGGCTGACATCAACTTCTGGCCCTTCAATATGTGGACCTTTCATCCCAAAGGTTGGCATTTTAAACTTAGGCATTTTAAATCCTCCTTTGTGGCCCTCAATGTCAACATCTGGTCCTTCAATATCCACTTTAGGAGCTTTTATGTCTCCTTCAATCTTTGGAACTGACACATCCACATCTCCTTTTACTTTGGGCCCTTTTAGACTCATATCCCAGTCTGGCAGTGTAGGTCCTGATAACGATGGCAGCTTAAATTTGGGTCCTCTGAGTTTTGCGTCAGGACCTTCAACATCAAATTCTGGCCCTTTGATGTCAATACCAGGAGCTTTAACATCTATGTTGGCTTTGGGAAGATTTATATCAACATCTGGACCCTCCACTTTTGGACCTTTGAAACCAAATGATGGCATTTTGATTTTCGGCATTTCAAATCCACCCTTAGGCCCTTCGATATCAACATGTGGACCTTTGATGTCAAAATCAGGTGTTTTTATGTCTCCTTCAATCTTTGGACCTGACACATCAACATCACCTTTGAGTTTGGGACTTTTCAGGTTGAAATCAATGTCTGGCATGGAAATGTTTGGTCCTGAGATAGATGGCATCTTGAATTTTGGTCCCTTGATTTTACCACTCGGACTCTCAATGTCAACGCCTGGTCCTTTGATGTCTAACTCAGGGCCTTTAATATCAATCTCGCCTTTGGGAAGGCTGACATCAACATCTGGCCCTTCAACATTTGGACCTTTCATCCCAAAGGTTGGCATTTTAAACTTAGGCATTTTAAATCCTCCTTTGTGGCCCTCAATGTCAACATCTGGTCCTTCAATATCCACTTTAGGAGCTTTTATGTCTCCTTCAATCTTTGGAACTGACACATCCACATCTCCCTTTACTTTGGGTCCTTTCAGACTAATATCCCAATCTGGCAGTGTAGGTCCTGATAACGATGGCAGCTTAAATTTGGGTCCTCTGAGTTTTGCGTCAGGACCTTCAACATCAAATTCTGGCCCTTTGATGTCAATATCAGGTGCTTTAACATCCATGTCGGCTTTGGGAAGATTTATATCAACATCTGGACCCTCCACTTTTGGACCTTTGAAACCAAATGATGGCATTTTGATTTTTGGCATTTCAAATCCACCCTTAGGCCCTTCGATGTCAACATGTGGACCTTTGATGTCAAAATCAGGTGTTTTTATTTCTCCTTCAATCTTTGGACCTGACACATCAACATCACCTTTGAGTTTGGGACCTTTCAGGTTGAAATCAACGTCTGGCATGGAAATGTTTGGTCCTGAGATAGTTGGCATCTTGAATTTTGGTCCCTTGATCTTACCACTCGGACTCTCAAAGTCAATGCCTGGTCCTTTGATGTCTAACTCAGGGGCTTTGATATCAATGTCGCCTTTAGGAAGGCTGACATCAACTTCTGGACCCTCAATATTTGGACCTTTCATCCCAAATGATGGCATTTTAAACTTAGGCATTTTAAATCCTCCTTTGTGGCCCTCAATGTCAACATCTGGTCCTTGAATATCCACCTTGGGAGCTTTGATGTCACCCTCAACTTTTGGAACTGACACGTCGACGTCTCCCTTTACTTTGGGCCCTTTTAGACTGATATCCCATTCTGGCAGCTTGGGTCCTGATATTGATGGCATTTTTATTTTAGGCATTTCAAATCCACCCTTTGGCCCTTCAATATCAACCTCTGGACCTTTGATGTCAACTTCAGGTGTTTTTATGTCTCCCTCTATCTTTGGAACTGACACGTCCACATCACCTTTGAGTTTGGGTCCTTTCAGATTGAAATCCACATTTGGCATGGAGAATTTCGGTCCAGAAATTGTTGGCATACTGAACTTGGGTCCTTTGAGTTTTGCATCTGGTCCTTCAATGTCAACTTCAGGGCCTTTAATTTCAACGTCAGGTGCTTTCACATCAATGTTTGTTTTTGGAAGGTTTATATCAACATCTGGTCCTTCCACTTTTGGACCTTTGAAGCCAAAGGATGGCATTTTGATTTTAGGCATGTCGAATCCACCTTTTGGACCTTCAATATCAACCTCTGGACCTTTGATGTCAACTTCAGGTGTTTTTATGTCTCCCTCTATCTTTGGAACTGACACATCCACATCACCTTTGAGTTTGGGACCTTTCAGATTGAAATCCACATTTGGCATGGAGAATTTTGGTCCAGAAATTGTTGGCATGCTGAATTTGGGTCCTTTGAGTTTTGCATCAGGGCCTTCAACGTCAACCTCTGGTCCTTTAATATCAATATCAGGTGATTTCACATTAATGTCTGCTTTGGGAAGGTTTATATCAACATCTGGCCCTTCCACTTTTGGACCTTTGAAGCCAAAGGAGGGCATTTTGATTTTAGGCATTTCAAATCCTCCTTTTGGGCCTTCAATATCAACGTCTGGACCTTTGATGTTGATCTCAGGTGTTTTTATGTCTCCTTCAATGTTTGGAACAGATACATCCACATCACCTTTGAGTTTGGGACCTTTCAGATTGAAATCCACATCTGGCATGGAAATCTTTGGTCCTGAGATTGTTGGCATTTTGAGTTTTGTTCCTTTCATTTTGCCATCAGGACTCTCAATTTTAACATCAGGTCCTTCAATGTCAACATCTGGAGCTTTTATTTCAATGCCAGCTTTGGGAAGATTAACATCAACGTCTGGCATTTCAACCTTTGGACCTTTGAAACCAAACTTTGGTATCTTGAATTTGGATCCTTTCACTTTTGGACCAGTCAATCCCAGGTCAAGATCAAGACCTTCAGAGCTACCAGTCTTCCCTTTCATGCTAATATCCACTTCTGGTGCCTTTGGCTTTGCACCCTTGAATCCAAACTTTGGCATTTTAAACTTTGATTTCTTTGTTCCGATTTCTGGGACATCTATTGTGGCATCTGGTCCTTCAAGTTCAGCTTTTGGCAATTGAACATCTCCTGTCAAGTCACCCTTCAACTTTGGCCCCTTCAGATTTATATCAACATCTGGCAATGATATTTTTGGTCCAGATATTTTTGGTAACTTAACTTTTGGCCCATGAAGGTTTCCCCCTGGGGATTCAAAGTCAACATTGGGACCTTTGATGTTAACTTCCGGTGTTTTTATGTTTCCCTCTATCTTTGGAACTGACATATCTCCCTTTATCTTGGGTCCTTTCAGGTTGATATCCCAGTCTGGCAACTTTGGTCCTGAGATTGATGGCAACTTAAATTGTGCCCCCTTGAGTTTTGCGTCTGGCCCCTCAATATCAACATTAGGCACATTAATGTCAACATCAGGTGCTTTGACATCAATGTCTGCTTTGGGAAGGTTTATATCAACATCTGGCCCTTCCACTTTTGGACCTTTGAAGCCAAATGATGGCATTTTGATTTTTGGCATTTCAAATCCTCCTTTCGGGCCTTCAATATCAACGTCTGGACCTTTTATGTTGATCTCAGGTGTTTTTATGTCTCCTTCAATGTTTGGAACAGATACATCCACATCACCTTTGAGTTTGGGACTTTTCAGATTGAAATCCACATCTGGCATGGAAATGTTAGGTCCTGAGATTGTTGGCATCTTGAATTTCGGTCCCTTGATTTTACCACTCGGACTCTCTATGTCAATGCCTGGTCCTTTGATATCCAATTCAGGGCCTTTAATATCCATGTCAGCTTTCGGAAGGCTGACATCAACATCTGCACCTTCAATATTTGGACCTTTCACCCCAAAGGATGGCATTTTAAACTTAGGCATTTTAAATCCTCCTTTATGGCCCTCGATGTCAACGTCTGGGCCTTCAATTTCCACCTTGGGAGCTTTGATGTCAGCCTCAACCTTTGGAACTGACACATCGACATCTCCCTTAATTTTGGGGCCTTTCAGACTCATATCCCAATCTGGCAGCTTGGGTCCTGATATTGATGGCATTTTGATTTTTGGCATATCAAACCCACCCTTTGGCCCTTCAATATCAACCTCTGGACCTTTGATGTGGATGTCAGGTGTTTTTATGTCTCCTTCAATCTTTGGAGCTGACAAATTCACATCACCTTTAAGTTTAGGACCTTTCAGGTTGAAGTCAACATCTGGCATGGAAATGTTTGGTCCTGAGATTGTTGGCATCTTGAATTTTGGTCCCTTGATCTTACCACTTGGACTCTCAATATCAATGCCTGGTCCTTTGATATCCAATTCAGGGCCTTTAATATCCATGTCAGCTTTCGGAAGGTTGACATCAACATCTGGCCCTTCAATATGTGGACCTTTCATCCCAAATGATGGCATTTTAAACTTAGGCATTTTAAATCCTCCTTTGTGGCCCTCAATGTCAATGTCTGGTCCTTCAATTTCCACATTGGGAGCTTTGATGTCACCCTCAACCTTTGGAACTGACACATCGACATCTCCTTTAATTTTGGGGCCTTTCAGACTCATATCCCAATCTGGCAGTTTGGGTCCTGATATTGATGGCATTTTGATTTTTGGCATATCAAACCCACCCTTTGGCCCTTCAATATCAACCTCTGGACCTTTGATGTGGATGTCAGGTGTTTTTATGTCTCCTTCAATCTTTGGTGCTGACAAATCCACATCACCTTTGAGTTTAGGACCTTTCAGGTTGAAATCCACATCTGGCATGGAAATGTTTGGTCCTGAGATTGTTGGCATCTTGAATTTCGGTCCCTTGATTTTACCACTTGGACTCTCGATGTCAATGCCTGGTCCTTTGATATCCAATTCAGGGCCTTTAATATCCATGTCAGCTTTCGGAAGATTGACATCAACATCTGCACCTTCAATATGTGGACCTTTCACCCCAAAGGATGGCATTTTAAACTTAGGCATTTTAAATCCTCCTTTGTGGCCCTCGATGTCAACGTCTGGTCCTTCAATTTCCACCTTGGGAGCTTTGATGTCAGCCTCAACCTTTGGAACTGACACATCGACATCTCCCTTAATTTTGGGGCCTTTCAGACTCATATCCCAATCTGGCAGCTTGGGTCCTGATATTGATGGCATTTTGATTTTTGGCATATCAAACCCACCCTTTGGCCCTTCAATATCAACCTCTGGACCTTTGATGTGGACGTCAGGTGTTTTTATGTCTCCTTCAATCTTTGGAGCTGACAAATTCACATCACCTTTAAGTTTAGGACCTTTCAGGTTGAAATCAACATCTGGCATGGAAATGTTTGGTCCTGAGATTGTTGGCATCTTGAATTTTGGTCCCTTGATCTTACCACTTGGACTCTCAATATCAATGCCTGGTCCTTTGATATCCAATTCAGGGCCTTTAATATCCATGTCAGCTTTCGGAAGGTTGACATCAACGTCTGGCCCTTCAATATGTGGACCTTTCATCCCAAATGATGGCATTTTAAACTTAGGCATTTTAAATCCTCCTTTATGGCCCTCAATGTCAATGTCTGGTCCTTCAATTTCCACATTGGGAGCTTTGATGTCACCCTCAACCTTTGGAACTGACACATCGACATCTCCCTTAATTTTGGGGCCTTTCAGACTCATATCCCAATCTGGCAGTTTGGGTCCTGATATTGATGGCATTTTGATTTTTGGCATATCAAACCCACCCTTTGGCCCTTCAATATCAACCTCTGGACCTTTGATGTGGACGTCAGGTGTTTTTATGTCTCCTTCAATCTTTGGAGCTGACAAATTCACATCACCTTTAAGTTTAGGACCTTTCAGGTTGAAATCAACATCTGGCATGGAAATGTTTGGTCCTGAGATTGTTGGCATCTTGAATTTTGGTCCCTTGATCTTACCACTTGGACTCTCAATATCAATGCCTGGTCCTTTGATATCCAATTCAGGGCCTTTAATATCCATGTCAGCTTTCGGAAGGTTGACATCAACATCTGCACCTTCAATATGTGGACCTTTCATCCCAAATGATGGCATTTTAAACTTAGGCATTTTAAATCCTCCTTTGTGGCCCTCAATGTCAATGTCTGGTCCTTCAATTTCCACATTGGGAGCTTTGATGTCACCCTCAACCTTTGGAACTGACACATCGACATCTCCTTTAATTTTGGGGCCTTTCAGACTCATATCCCAATCTGGCAGTTTGGGTCCTGATATTGATGGCATTTTGATTTTTGGCATATCAAACCCACCCTTTGGCCCTTCAATATCAACCTCTGGACCTTTGATGTGGATGTCAGGTGTTTTTATGTCTCCTTCAATCTTTGGTGCTGACAAATCCACATCACCTTTGAGTTTAGGACCTTTCAGGTTGAAATCCACATCTGGCATGGAAATGTTTGGTCCTGAGATAGATGGCATCTTGAATTTTGGTCCCTTGATCTTACCACTTGGGCTCTCAATATCAATGCCTGGTCCTTTGATATCCAATTCAGGGCCTTTAATATCCATGTCAGCTTTCGGAAGGTTGACATCAACTTCTGGACCTTCAATATGTGGACCTTTCATCCCAAAGGATGGCATTTTAAACTTAGGCATTTTAAATCCTCCTTTATGGCCCTCGATGTCAACGTCTGGTCCTTCAATTCCCACCTTGGGAGCTTTGATGTCAGCCTCAACCTTTGGAACTGACACATCGACATCTCCCTTAATTTTGGGCCCTTTCAGACTCATATCCCAATCTGGAAGCTTAGGCCCTGATATTGATGGCATTTTGATTTTTGGCATATCAAACCCACCCTTTGGCCCTTCCAAATCAACCTCTGGACCTTTGATGTCAACTGCAGGTGTTTTTATGTCTCCTTCAATCTTTGGAACTGACACATCCACATCACTTTTGAATTTGGGACCTTTCAGATTGAAATCCACATTTGGCATGGACAATTTTGGTCCAGAAATTGTTGGCATGCTGAACTTGGGTCCTTTGAGTTTTGCATCTGGCCCTTCAATATCAATCTCTGGAGCTTTGATGTCAACACCAGGTGCTTTCATGTTAATGTCTGCTTTTGGAAGGTTAATATCAACATCTGGACCTTCCACTTTTGGACCTTTCACCCCAAATGATGGCATTTTCACCTTGGGCATTTTAAATCCTCCTTTGTGGCCCTCAATGTCAACTTCTGGTCCTTCAATATCCACCTTGGGAGCTTTAATGTCTCCCTCAATCTTTGGAATTGACACATCCACATCACCTTTGAGTTGGGGACCTTTCAGATTGAAATCCACATTTGGCATGGATATTTTTGGTCCTGAAAAGGATGGCATGTTGAACTTTGGTCCTTTGAGTTTTGCATCTGGACCTTCAATGTCAATCTCTGGAGCTTTGATGTCAACGTCTGGTGCTTTCATGTCAATGTCTGCTTTTGGAAGGTTAACGTCAACATCTGGACCTTCCATTTTTGGACCTTTTACCCCAAACGATGGCATTTTAAATTTAGGCATTTTGAATCCTCCTTTGTGGCCCTCAATGTCAACCTCTGGACCTTCAATATCGACCTTGGGAGCTTTAATGTCTCCCTCAATCTTTGGAATTGACACGTCTACATCACCTTTGAGTTTTGGACCTCTGAGATTGAAATCCACATCTGGCATGGATATTTTCGGTCCCGAAATGGATGGCATGTTGAACTTGGGCCCTTTGAGTTTTGCGTCCGGCCCTTCAATGTCAATCTCTGGTGCTTTGATGTCAACACCAGGTGCTTTCATGTCAATGTCTGCTTTTGGAAGGTTAATATCAACATCTGGACCTTCCACTTTTGGACCTTTCATTCCAAACGATGGCATTTTCATCTTGGGCATTTTAAATCCTCCTTTGGGACCCTCAATATCAATATCTGGTCCTTCAATATCGACCTTGGGAGCTTTAATGTCACCCTCAATCTTTGGAATTGACGCATCCACATCACCTTTGAGTTGGGGACCTTTCAGATTGAAATCCACATTTGGCATGGATATTTTTGGTCCTGAAATGGATGGCATGTTGAACTTTGGTCCTTTGAGTTTTGCATCTGGACCTTGAATGTCAATCTCTGGAGCTTTAATGTCAATACCAGGTGCTTTCATGTCAATGTCTGCTTTTGGAAGGTTAATATCAACATCTGGACCTTCCACTTTTGGACCTTTCACCCCAAATGATGGCATTTTCATCTTTGGCATTTTAAATCCTCCTTTGGGACCCTCGATATCAATTTCTGATCCTTCAATATCCACCTTGGGAGCTTTAATGTCTCCCTGAATCTTTGGAATAGACACATCCACATCACCTTTGAGTTGGGGACCTTTCAGATTGAAATCCACATTTGGCATGGATATTTTTGGTCCCGAAATGGATGGCATGTTGAACTTGGGCCCTTTGAGTTTTGCATCTGGCCCTTCAATGTCAATCTCTGGAGCTTTGATGTCAATCTCCGGAGCTTTGATGTCAACACCAGGTGCTTTCATGTCAATGTCTGCTTTTGGAAGGTTAATATCAACATCTGGACCTTCCACTTTTGGACCTTTCACCCCAAATGATGGCATTTTCATCTTGGGCATTTTAAATCCTCCTTTGGGACCCTCAATATCAATATCTGGTCCTTCAATATCCACCTTGGGAGCTTTAATGTCTCCCTCAATCTTTGGAATTGACACATCCACATCACCTTTGAGTTGGGGACCTTTCAGATTGAAATCCACATTTGGCATGGATATTTTTGGTCCTGAAATGGATGGCATGTTGAACTTTGGTCCTTTGAGTTTTGCATCTGGACCTTCAATGTCAATCTCTGGAGCTTTGATGTCAACGTCTGGTGCTTTCACATCAATTTCACCTTTTGGAAGGTTAATATCAACATCTGGACCTTCCACTTTTGGACCTTTCACCCCAAATGATGGCATTTTAATCTTAGGCATTTTGAATCCTCCTTTGGGACTCTCAATGTCAACATCTGGTCCTTCAATATCGACCTTGGGAGCTTTTAGGTCACCCTCAAGCTTTGGAATTGACACATCCACATCACCTTTGAGCTTGGGACCTTTCAGATGGAAATCCACATCTGGCATGGATATTTTTGGTCCCGAAATGGATGGCATGTTGAACTTGGGCCCTTTGAGTTTTGCATCTGGCCCTTCAATGTCAATCTCTGGAGCTTTGATGTCAACACCAGGTGCTTTCATGTGAACGTCTGCTTTTGGAAGGTTAATATCAACATCTGGACCTTCCACTTTTGGACCTTTCACCCCAAATGATGGCATTTTCATCTTGGGCATTTTAAATCCTCCTTTGGATCCCTCAATATCAATATCTGGTCCTTGAATATCCACCTTGGGAGCTTTAATGTCTCCCTGAATCTTTGGAATAGACACATCCACATCACCTTTGAGTTGGGGACCTTTCAGATTGAAATCCACATTTGGCATGGATATTTTTGGTCCTGAAATGGATGGCATGTTGAACTTTGGTCCTTTGAGTTTTGCATCTGGACCTTCAATGTCAATCTCTGGAGCTTTGATGTCAACATCTGGTGCTTTCACGTCAATTTCACCTTTTGGAAGGTTAATGTCAACATCTGTACCTTCCACTTTTGGACCTTTCACCCCAAATGATGGCATTTTAATCTTAGGCATTTTGAATCCCCCTTTGGGACCCTCAATATCAACATCTGGTCCTTCAATATCGACCTTGGGAGCTTTTAGGTCACCCTCAAGCTTTGGAATTGACACATCCACATCACCTTTGAGTTGGGGACCTTTCAGATTGAAATCCACATCTGGCATGGATATTTTTGGTCCTGAAATGGATGGCATGTTGAACTTTGGTCCTTTGAGTTTTGCATCTGGACCTTGAATGTCAATCTCTGGGGCTTTGATGTCAACGTCTGGTGCTTTTACGTCAATTTCAGCTTTTGGAAGGTTAATATCAACATCTGGACCTTCAACTTTTGGACCTTTCACTCCAAATGATGGCATTTTAATCTTAGGCATTTTGAATCCTCCTTTGGGACCCTCAATATCAACATCTGGACCTTCAATATCGACCTTGGGAGCTTTTAGGTCACCCTCAAGCTTTGGAATTGACACATCCACATCACCTTTGAGTTGGGGACCTTTCAGATTGAAATCCACATCTGGCATGGATATTTTTGGTCCTGAAATGGATGGCATGTTGAACTTTGGTCCTTTGAGTTTTGCATCTGGACCTTGAATGTCAATCTCTGGGGCTTTGATGTCAACGTCTGGTGCTTTTACGTCAATTTCAGCTTTTGGAAGGTTAATATCAACATCTGGACCTTCAACTTTCGGACCTTTCACCCCAAATGATGGCATTTTAATCTTAGGCATTTTAAATCCTCCTTTGGGGCCCTCAATGTCAACATCTGGTCCTTCAATATCGACCTTGGGAGCTTTTAGGTCACCCTCAAGCTTTGGAATTGACACATCCACATCACCTTTGAGTTGGGGACCTTTCAGATTGAAATCCACATTTGGCATGGATATTTTCGGTCCCGAAAAGGATGGCATGTTGAACTTGGGTCCTTTGAGTTTTGCATCAGGTCCTTCAATGTCAATCTCTGGACCTTTGATGTCAACGTCTGGTGCTTTCAGGTCAATGTTGGCTTCTGGAAGGTTAATATCAACATCTGGACCTTCCACTTTTGGACCTTTCACTCCAAATGATGGCATTTTCACCTTAGGCATTTTAAATCCTCCTTTGTATCCCTCAATATCAATATCTGGTCCTTCAATGTCGACCTTAGGAGCTTTAATGTCACCCTCAATCTTTGGAATCGACACATCCACATCACCTTTGAGTTTGGGACCTCTCAGATTGAAATCCACATTTGGCATGGATATTTTCGGTCCCGACATGGATGGCATGTTGAACTTGGGTCCTTTGAGTTTTGCATCTGGCCCTTCAATGTCAATCTCTGGAGCTTTGATGTCAACGTCTGGTGCTTTCACGTCAATGTTGGCTTCTGGAAGGTTAATATCAACATCTGGACCTTCCACTTTTGGACCTTTTACTCCAAATGATGGCATTTTCACCTTAGGCATTTTAAATCCTCCTTTGGGACCCTCAATATCAATATCTGGTCCTCCAATGTTGACCTTAGGAGCTTTAATGTCACCCTCAATCTTTGAAATTGACACATCCACATCACCTTTGAGTTCGGGACCTCTCAGATTGAAATCCACATTTGGCATGGATATTTTCGGTCCCGACATGGATGGCATGTTGAACTTGGGTCCTTTGAGTTTTGCATCTGGCCCTTCAATGTCAATCTCTGGAGCTTTGATCTCAACACCAGGTGCTTTCATGTCAATGTCAGCTTTTGGAAGGTCAATATCAACATCTGGACCTTCCACTTTTGGACCTTTCACCCCAAATGATGGGAGTTTGATTTTAGGCATCCCAAATCCACCCTTTGGCCCCTCAATTTCGAGCCCTGGACCTTTAACATCAACATCAAGTTTTTCAATCTTTCCTTTTATCTTTGAAGCTGACATATCCACATCACCTTTGAGTTCAGGACCTTTGACGCTTAAATCCACGTCACGCATGGAAATCTTTGTTCCTTGAATTGATGGCACTTTGATATCCACTTCAGGAGCTTTCACATTAATATCAGCCTTTGGATGGCCAACATCAACTTCTGGCTGTTCCACTTTCGCACCTTTAATTCCGAATGATGGAATTTTCACTTTAGGCATTTTGAATCCACTTTCATGGCCACCAGTGCCAACATCTTTCATGTGTCCTTCAATCTTTGGCATTGATACATCCATATCTCCTTCAACTGTTGGACCTTCAAGTTCAGGTGTTTTTACATTAATTTTACCTTTGGGAAGGTTGAGATCCACATCAGGACCCTTGACCACTTTAGGACCTGTAAAACCAAACGATGGCATTTTGATTTCAGGCCTCTCAAATACACCTTTACGCCCTTCAATATCAACCTCTGGTCCTTTGATCTCCATTTCAGGTTTTGTTGTGTGTCCCTCAATCTTTGGAACTGAAAAATCCACATTTCCCTTTGCCTTGCTTCCTTTCAGACTGACATCCATTTCTGGCATTGTGTGTCCTATTTTGGATGGCATCTTGAATTTCAGTCCATCAATTTTTACATCAGATCTCCCACCATCAATTTCTGGTGCTTTAATATCAACCTCAGTTTTTACATCAACATTTTGTCCCTTGGCCCCAAATGATGGTGTCTTTATCTGAGACATTTTGAAACCCCCTTCTTTCCCCTCAATGTTTATAGCTGGACCTTTAATGTCTACTTTGGGTTCCTTTATTTTTCCCTCAGTCTTTGGCACTGTTACATCAAGATTTCCCACACTCATTGGTACTTTGGTTTGAATGCTAGAGGTGATTTCAGGTGCTTTTAAGTCACTGGCAGCTTCTGTAAATCTAACATTGACAACTGGCTGCATATCTGTCCCTTTGATGTCTAGTTCTGGTTTTTGAACCTCTTTTTGAGTCACAGGTACTGATATATCTGCATCACCACTGAGTTTAACTTCAACACTAGTTCCCTCTTTCCTAATTCCAGTTGCAGGCATCTTGATTGTTGACATTTTTATGCCACTCACAGTGCCCTCATTTTCTTTGCCTGAAACGTCTATTGCAGATGCTTGTATTCCTCCCTTTCTGCTTGGCAGGTTGGCATCAACCTCACCTTTCATCCTTGAACCTGTAAGGTTAACGTCCAGACCTGTCATTGAAATCTTGCCTGGCCCTGAGGAATATCCTGAGGTAACATTGCCTACTGTTATTACAGATCCTCCTATCCTGCCACCACTTGATTCAGTATCAATACCTCTGGAACCGCCACCAAATCTGACATTTGGCATATCAAATCTGCTTGATCCCTTTGCCTGCGGGTGACTGATGGTTGTTTCGGATACCTTCATCTTTGTCCTTTCACCTAAACTGGTGTCAACATTTCCCTCCTGTATCTGGATTGTTTTTTCTGGTAAAGACAGACTAATTGTCCCTCCATTTTCATCAGCTGAGGTTACCTCTGCACCTCCCAACCCACCCCTTGTAATATGCCTACTACCAGTGTTTGTGCTGTCACTTGGTGTCATGCTTGTTCCTGATACCTGAATGCTGCCATCTCCTTGCTCTCCACTCCCTCTTGAGATCTCAAAACCTCCCTGGCCTGTAACCCCAAAGTTGGGCCCTTTAAACTTAAGACCTGTACCTCTTTCCCCCTCTCTTGTAATTGTTGTGGTCTGAACTCCCCGACTACCCCAGCGTGTCTCTGTGGAGCTAACTTCTGGCCCAGTGTAAGAGACATTGCTTGACTCAAAAACTCCCTCTTCTGCTCCCACTTTACCTGAGGGGCTGCCATGTGAGATTCTGATACGAGGAGAGCCATCTCCAGATTCGTGCCTTAGCCCCTTGAACTCTGGGTTTGAAAATTCAAGTTGCTCACTTATGCCACTTGGCATCTCCACAGTGTAGGTAGTGATGCGGCGGGTGATGGTGGTTATTGTGCTGCCATCGCTGCTTGTACTGCTATGCCGCTCTGTGCGAACATCTACTCCCTCTGCAAGGTCTTCAGACTTCAGCCTTGGTTTAATCTTTTTTGTGTATATTCTCTTATAGTCCTCATCATCTCCACTCTGTTTATAGAAAAAGACAGGAAAGCTTACAACATGTAAAAGTTATTATACCATGTATTTTGTTCAATAGCTTCCTCACAAACAAATTAGTGATATATATTATTTTTAATAAGAACTTACAAGGATGATGTCTGGACTAGAACCTCCAAACCGGGTCTTCCCTTCCCATGTCAGGGTTCCCATTGGTGAACGACATGGTGTGCTCAAGGGTGAGCAGCATGGGGATTTGTCTCCTTTATTTTGTAGTTTCAGTCCAACCTTGTGGCGGTTCAATGTCTTCAATAGCTCAGCTGTTTCTTCTGAGCTCATATTATCAAAGTAGACAGTTGCACCTACAATCTGGTCGCCTATGAATTAAGTAGAGACAGCAGTAAAAAGTATTAATTCTTAAAAAATACTAGGGATTATTCATTATGTAGGTGAGACCAATCTTACTTCATACTTAAAAAAGTTAATATGGTACCTTCATATACTTTTCCAGAACGTGCTGCTGGTGACTCTCCTTTCACTTCTTTAACAAAGATTTCTCCTCCACTTGTCTGTTCAATGGTCAAGCCAGTTTTGTCTGGGCCCTCCCAATCTGGAAAGAGCACCTCCCTGGTTTCCTCTTCTTCAGCCATCTATAAACAGCAAATAAAGAATTTGAGAGAAAATACAAAGTATCCAGCAAGAGATTAAAGTATATGCATTTGCATCAAGGTATACAGGATTAAATATAGAAAGCACAAGAGCTTTATTGTGAGTTTAACTTTGTAAAATACCTTGTTTTTGCTTTCCTCTATTTAAGCCCTGGTGTGATGGAAACTGTCTTGGTTTTCCTGCATAAAGAAAATATAATAATCATCAGTAAGAAAAAAAATGAGGACCGAAAATGCGTAACTTGATTCCAGACCAAATTTTCTTTTTTCTTTTTCTTTTTCTTTTTTTTTACTATTAAGACAAATCCTGAATTAAACATTAACTAATGCCACTCTGTGAGAAGGGTTGGTTTGTAAGACCAAATAGTGAACACTAGATGGTGTTAAAACCCTTTCAGACAACATAGCCTCTACCCCCTTCAAAACACCAAACCATGAGGTCCCTCCCTTCTGAGTGCTCTGTGTTTTGGAAATTTGGTTGGAGTCAGACCACACCCTGCCCTGAGGAAAGCAGCCCAATCCTGTGCCTACACCCCATCTCCAATGTCAATAGAGAGAACAATGATGGTTAAAGCTTTGTAAGGCCTTGCCTTATGAAAACACACACAGAGGTGCAGAAATGTACAGTAATACATACACCAACATGTTAGCGCACATCCTTTCTCTTTAACAAAAATGCATGTGAACAGTACTATTGTAAGAGTATTGCTGCCTCACAAAGTTGATCACTTTTAAGGTGTACTCTGCAATACAAAAGAACATATCATGTTACTTACTGGTCGTGGTAATTATACTTACTAGATATTTCTGGACATAATACAGAATATCTTTTAATAAGTAAATGATGCAACAATTCATTATATTTCCATCAGCTCACATCAAGACAATTTAACAGGCATGCTTAGTTTTTGTATAACTGTCTATATTTATGTGCACACTAGTAAACACATTTTGCAACCATCACAGAGATAATAAAGTTTGTTTACATCATTGACAGACGTGCCTCTTCAAACATGCTGTCTAGTCCTGCCCACTCGCCTCTTTGGAACAGAAAACCCATTGTTTCATTAATACCAAACTCTCCACAACCCACACCTTTAATTACACAAAGCTGTCTAATTCATGTGCCTCTAACTAGCCAGAAATGGTTTTCATGTCTTACATTGCATGTACTTGGCAAACGCTTTACAAACGTACCTTACATACATACACAAGGAGCAATTTGGTGTTCAGTGTCTTGATACTTTGCATCATGGATCAACCCACCATTCTTAACATTAACAGACTACCCTTTCTACCACCTGAACAATAGCTACTCAGATGTTTATTGGTTTAATTCATATATCAGCAATTCAGTTTTCAGAGGGCCCACTGAGTACATATAATCTAGATCATTTTTAGTGGAACTGTATTAGAAAAAGCTGTCTGCTATCCAAAACAGCATAGATTGCTTTTGTAATGGTCATTCAATGTGCTGTGTTTTAATGCAGTGCTTGAGAATTTGAATCGATCATGCCAAGAGCAACCAGTCAGTGGTACTGAAACCTTTAGCTTAAAGATAGTTCACCATGAGACATTGACAAAGCTGTATGACCACAGTCATTTCAATGAGAGAATCATTCTGCTGCTGCCTGGTGTAGCTTACCACATCAAACTGCGCAGCCATTCAGTAAGTTTTAGCAAATTGTCTATTCAGCCAGTATGAATGGCAAAAGCTTATCCATTGGATGGCACAAAAGAAACAGGATATGAGTCATAGTGGTGATGAGCTGCCTGGGGTGGACAAGAGATCAACTTTGAAAAGGAGCATAGAGGATTTTTACTAGTTGTATTACACTGCTCCATACCCATTGCAATATACGACTTCTCTCTGGTCAGCTAAGTACTTCATAGGTTGGTATACAAGTGTCTTCTTTTGTTTGTGTGATCTGTTTCCATTCACTTGACTTGTCTTAGCTCTATCTCCACCCTGAGAAATGTAGGCCTCCAAGACTACTATTTAAGATAATGGCATATGGTCAGATTTCAGTGATAATGTATAACAAACTGTGGTGGTGCAATTAAAGGACCAGTGTGTAGGATTTAGTGTCAGCTATAGATCGCAACCAACTGAATACTACTCACTTTCTAAGCGTTAAGGAGAAACTACTGTAGCTGTTATTAAGGTAATGAAAACACAATGATTCTTATTTTCAGGTGATCATACACTAATAAAAACATATACACTGGATGACATAAACTTAACCACAAGCTAGGACAGCTTTTAAGAAACTGCCTCAACTAGCACGGCGATGGAAACAAATTAAGAAGTCAGCTAGGAGGAAATATCAATTCAGCGTCTGGATAAAGACATTATATTTTTTCCATACTATTTTGCACCACTGTAAATAACATAATTACACCAGTAAGTCATAGATCCCTTCCTCATTCACTGAAGCTACCACACAGCTTGTTATCTTGCTCTGCAAAACAGCAAGCTGTTGGGAACAAGAGGAACCTGAGGCAAAGATAAAGAAACAGCTGTTTCAGAAGGGTCAGTAACAAGTAAGACTCTGTCAACGGCCATCTGCCACTCTTGACACACTGCCAATATACAGTATTTTAAACAAATGTGAGGGTTAGAAGAGGATGATACAGATGTTTTGGTTCGATGAAACAGTGCATGTAGTCCTGTGTTGGTGTGTGTGTGACTTAGAGCGAGCTGCTTGTCTCCTCACATAATTGTATCTCAAACATTAGCAAAACAAAATTTTTGTGAAAGTTTCTCAAAGTGTGTGTGAGAAAGCATTAATTGACAGACAGTTTGGAATGCAGAGTGATTTGCAAACTGGTCTCCCTAGTTTGCTGGACCCTGTCCAAGGACACATAGCCACCAATACACCAATTAACGCAAGTCAATAAATAGGCTGGTCCTGCATGATTGGGAATACTGAAAAATACTTGCAATTCTTTGAGGTAATATTAAGCCCTCTATCTAAAATAGCCATTTGCAGACTCTCAGAACTCAAAAACAAGGGCCACTGAGAGTGATAATACCAGAGATATGGCTGGGGTTTATGACAAAGATGATGCCAACCACTTGCATCTACAACCTGATCTTTCCCCCCCTCTCTTTCTCTTTCTTCCTTTCCTTATCCTCTTTCCCTCTCATTGTCTGTGTCAGTGTGGCTTAAATGAAGCAAGTAACATGAATCTACCAAGGCTTACAGTATCTGTAAATTATATGCATCAAACACAGCTGAAATGTGTGAGTATGGAGGGGACAAACAAGGCAGTTTGCAGTGCCAAAGACGCTTTACCCAATTAACTCATGTAGATCAAATATTACTCAGGTCAACTGACACCGCCAGTTATAGTATCTTAACTCGGCCCTTCTCACCCCAGCCCCAGAGTATTTGAACTGAACCAAAAGAATTTGTATGTTCCCTATGGGTCACACTGTGGCTCATTTTACACATCCACCTCCTCTCTTCTTTCACTCAATGAAAACGGACAAAAATAGCTGACAAACTTTTCACATGATCTTGGTTCCCTCACTTGTTTTCCACATGCTTCTCATGGCTTATTGACATTGCATATAACTATTCAGTGTTTGAGAGGGAGGGACAGAGAATATGAAGCATTTTAACTCTCAAACAAGGCACATATTATTGTTGGCTGGTTTCAGTTTTTAGAAGGAAAAACAGGCTCACAGCCTGTTTTCACCAAAAAATTACCCAAGAGCAAGGGAGAGAAAACTATTTTCTTATTCATTTATCCATCTCTTACTCAAAGGCACAACCTCAGGACACAACTATTATTTTCTCTCTGTTTGTTTGTTTTCCCTCTCCAACCATCTATTTATTTTCATATATTTTACCTTTAATATTAAACATATTTTCCTCATCCCACAGTGTACCCTCGCTTCAAGGCTCTCCATGATCGAGAGCGAACTATTTGAGCTGCCCTTGTTCTCACAGCTTTGACATATTTCTGGCAGCAAGTTTCCGGGAGGAGCTGGGGCTCACAGCAATATAGGAGGGAAGGAAGGAACTTGCAGAGAGGGAGGGAGATGGAGAGAGGAGGAAATGGTAAAAAAATTTAAAGCAAGCAAGATAGCAAGTGAGAATGGGATGGTTGTGAAACTGCTGTGTGGAATGTGAGCCTATAAGGTAACAGTAACGGGGAATGAAAACAGCTGAGTTGAATCAAAATATAGGGCTATCATGGAAGACTTTTCTCAGAAGCTTACAAGCTCACAACACCACGCTGTAGATAGGGATCCCTCCCCCCACCCCACACCAACACAACACACCCCACCCCCTCCCCCACACCTCCAACCCGAACCCATACAAGCTTCACGTATGCCCTAACAGAGCATATCCTATTTTGGAAATGGAGCACAGAGGAACAATTAACTTGATGAAGATCATATGCTTAGATATGGATTGTGTTGTAAACAGATGCTAAATAAGTAAGCCTCTGTTCTTGCGATCATAAGACAGGGAGGCAGCCTGTGACTCAAAATGATCAGGCAACATGACAATCAACCTCTTCTCTATTATTTCCCTTTCATTTCTCTGACATGTTTGAGAGTGACATTCCTGATGTCACATGTCTTTAAATTGGATTAGTGATGTCATCAAAAGCATATTTGACGAACACACAAAATTAGATTTTTACAAGAAGTGTTGAAGGGAACCATGGAGGCAGTGAGGGCAAAGGGAAATAGACAAGCTTGTTTATCTATCATGTTTTATTATGGTCTGGTATGTGTGTTGGGAAAGGGGGGACGCGGAGACAGCCAGCCAGACAAAAGCTTCTGTTAACTAGAGTGCAACCACAGAACATTTCTGGATACGCCTCTCTTACGGCCTGTCATCGGCCTGCATACGGTCTGGGTTTGGTATTGGTTCTTTAGCTGGATTTCCCTCCACTCCTAAGGAATAAATCATCCCCAACTGCCGATTACAAACAGTTCAAACAGCATGAGCTTCGCAGTCTTTTGACAGGGTTGTTTCATAAGAAGGGGAAAAGGGGTTCGAGTGGAACAGGTGGTGTCTGGGGGAGGAAGGAGGGGTGCAAAGAGGAGGCACAGGGAGCAGAAGCAGCCAAGTGTCAGGTTTCCACAAGGCATGCCTTTCACAGCTGAATGGAGGTGGCATGACCTTCCAGGTTCAAAGGAGGCTTTGCAACAAACATTCCAACAGAGGTTTGGCGTCTGGCCATATAATAGAATGCTGTTCTAGGGTGACACTGACTAGCTGGCCTTGGAGTGGAGTGATGGGTAATAAGAAATATAGTTTCCTTTCCTTGACTCAACCAGTAACAGATGTGTTGTGTGAATATCTTGCATTATGTCTAAGGACACTTACCTCGGATTGCTCAAGCAAGGCCAAGGGCTTCAGTCTGTTGCTGTGGTTTTTGTATTCTTGACTTCTGTTGAAAGAAAAATACAATGATGATTAGATTAAAAATGACTTAAATAACAAGTATTTTAAGGTTAATGTCAGGAAGTTCTACCATTCTCATGTGGTACAAAAAAAAACTATTCTGATTTCATCATGCTGCTGTCTAATGCAATAACACATCAGGTTTCAGTTAACATAACATATTCCTTACATATAAGCCACTGTTGCATTAAGAGGTGTGCCCCAACATGACACACAAGGCAACATAAACTTCAGGATTTACTCATGGCATTTACATGCTCAGTGGACCTTCTATAACCAATAACGAGTATTTAATAATTAACCAACCAATGGTAGCAGTATTGACCCTGGCAAGTAATAATGCAAAAGACACCCTTTAAGTAGATCAATTCAGCTACTTGTTTGGTGTGGCCCTCACCTCTACAAATAAGAAGATAATATATCCAGGATTCAGATTAGTTTGATTAAAGTTTAAACTGTGAGAAGAAACAAATCCAGTTCAGTTCTATAAGGAAATATATTATAAAATATCCTTGTGAATGCTCCATTGTCACTGTTTGAGTGATGACTGTAAGACAAGATGGTATTGCCAAGGTGTAAAGCATAAAACCATATAGCAATAAAATATGGTTGTTGCAACTATACTGTATCATCATTGAAGTGTCATTCTGCATTCCAAGTCAATCTTACTTTTACCCGCTGTGACTAGCCCAAAATCTTACAGGACTTACTAGAATTATTGCTTCAACCCACCGACATATTGTGAAACAAAGCCTTCTCTTTGTCAGTCCCAGTACAAACAGAACCAGACTTGATGTGTGTACAGACAGGCATCTACCGGTGGGAACATGTCCCTCAGAAAAATTCTTCTGAGACAGGCTCTTCAAACCCATCATTAACCTCCCCCTCCCCAGTCCTCCCCAATTCAATAAACTAAATTGCTCACTACTTTGGTGAAAAGTCTGCCAAATTACTGTGTTTGTGAGACTCTGAGACCATTTATAAACTGACTTTAAATACCTATGCTTAACACTAAGTACAATAGAGAAAACATGAGTAAAAGTGCCTCTTGAAATCAGCGACATTGGTGCAAAGTTTGTAAAACACTTTAAAGTTTTGCATGAGAATATACTGTTGTTTATTGCCTTTTTGAACTGGTCCAGTACTATAATAGATGACACATAGCTGAGTTAAACGCCAGCCAGTACGTGATTGTCATTATGTTTGTGTAGGGAGACTTGCACCACGGCAGCTGTGTACACTCTCCAGGCCATACTCTTGTTACAGAGATATATTAATCAGACTGCCATGTCAGGAGTCATTCAGGTAAATGTCTGCCTGAATGACAATGGTACATTTTTCAAGGACACAAGTATCAATCTTAAGGGAATGTCAGATAGAATTTGTCTTTTAACAATGGCCATATCTGAGTATACAAACTCAAATGATAAGAAATAAGCTGCCCCACCCCACCTGTCTTAATACCTTGGTGAGACCGCATACATAAACACACACACCGGCATGCACAGTAAGGTGAAATGTGGTCACCAACAGTGCAGAAACAAAATACAAACACATGCCAGGGTAGAAATACCACGCCACAGTCCACGAGGCAGATCACGTCGCTTTGCCTCTGTGCTGTGCTTGCATAGGGAGCAGCTCAGTGCACAGCCCCACCCAGGCCTCCAGTCACACACATTCCTTGATAGAGCCGTCAAGCCAGCTGGAAGGGAGCCCGGCCTCTCCCCGCAGTGACTAACTCCAAAGAAATGTCCTCTTTCTCTCTGACTCCAGCTCCATTTTATGCCGCCCACCTTGCACCCTGCCTGAGTGCCCACCCCCCTGCACTCAATCCACCACACCCCCCAACATCCAGGTTCTGCTCAGATAAACAAGAACACCACATTCAGTCAGATATGCACATTTAATGGAACCCTGAAATACAAGCTCTTAAATTAACCCTGAGAAGCAGCACCAGGATTGGCTGAGCAGATTCTGTTTTCATAATTTTTATCACCTTCACTATCATCATCATTGTTGGCTCCACCTGTGCACCAGGTAGATGCAACAAACTGTAGTCTACACCGCACTGCTATCCATTTCTACCCCACCCTTCCATTGCCTTAAGGACCCATATTTGTTTGACTGTCATAGTTTGTGCTTAAGTAGGTCACAACCAAGTGGCTGTAATCAATCCATCAGGTTGATTACCAAATTCAATCAATTTGGTGAACAGAAAACATGAGCGGTGTGACAAAGATTAAAGCTCAGTCGTAAGTGAATCAGGCACAGCAGTGCTGGTGAGTGATAAGATTTGATTATGAGCAAATAAAAAAGACTGCATAGACGGAAAGAGGGAGAGAGGAGCCCTGACAAAATCAGTCATGTTGTCAAAACAGAATAGACTCCCTGTTCCTCTATCTCCATTGTAGTTTGACATAGCACACAACAAACACAAAGAGACACAGCAGGCCCCTGTGTAGGTTCACTCTTCTCTCAAAAACACAGATAGGACATGCATGTGTGACGCACATAAAAGGAATGCACGTCAAAATAAATGGTTCTTTTCTGCACACCATAGTCCACATAGCCCTAAACCAAACCACAGGTCCTGCATAAGACCAAAGCCTGCCCACTGACGCCAACTTGGCCTGCTGTTGATTAAACCATTGTGACTTTGGCAGGAGTCGAGCACAAAATGGAAAAACTGAAGAAAATTCTGTAAGAGATCACAAACAAGACCGGGGGGTGAGAGTACACTTCAGCTATGTCTTGATTTTCATGTTAATTATATTTAAGTCTCAAGTTCACATAAGGACACTAAAAGAAAGGGTCTATGCTGTATGTGGCGATGAGTATCAGATAACTCATGACTCCTGTCATTACTCAGTGTTCTCTATCACAGCCCTAGATATCCAGGGAGGGAGGATCTCACTATAAATTTCCTCTCCCTGGGTTTCTTCCATTTTTTCCTTATGCGCTAAGGTTTTCAAGTTTTTCCTTGTCTTCTTAAGAACTTAGCATCACAAACTGCTGCCACTGTGGGCCAGTAATCCCACTAGACACTGTATGTAATATTAGGCTATGCAAAAATAAACTAAAAAGAATACAGTAAAATTTTTCCAAAAACGAAAACAAAACATTTTCGCTGTAGCTGAAGTTCTGAAATGAGAAGTGATCCTAGGGTGTTGCCTATCAGCAGTTTCAGAACCAATAACATTGAGTTACTAACAACATAAAAAGCAGAGCTGCAGTATAACTGAGCTGAGGATGCAAATTTTGAACTGGCATAACTAGATACACCAGAGAGAAAGAAAAAGGACAGTTTACAAGGTTCTGCCGGATAAATAACCCATCAAAAGAGCTTTACAGACATCCATAGCAACATTATGTATGCCACGCCATGTAACTGCTCGACTTGTCTTGGTTCGGGTTTGTTTCAGTCTTCTACAGCTGCTGTTTGAACAAGAACAATTGCAAAAACAATCAAGGAGCAGGAGACAAGAAGGTTAGATGGAGGGCTATATGGTAACCATAGCAGCAGAATGTATACATAGACAAGACTTCCTTAGCGGTAGGGCTTGAAGCATAAGCTAGGATATGTATTCATGCTTAGCATTTAGACCACACCAGAGTACTGCAGAGTTGTTTATAGCAAGAGAGTGTTGGATTGTGATGGGTGCCATCCTTGAATATCCTGTGCCAGATAAAGAAAACCTAAGCAAAGCTGAATGTATTTCTGAATTTACATTCCAAGCACTGCTGCCCTGACATTTTGGCTGCCTTGTTCCAAATAGAGTTTTGTAACAGATGCCGCGTGTCATTCTTTGCACAGGACAACATAACAGTGTTTGTGGGGGTTAGGGTGTAGGCCAGACAGTTAGTGGGGCAGGTAGGCTGTGCAGAATGGCTTCAGCCATGTAACATTTACTGTTTTTGGATGGTTTTTGTATTGTAGATGTGTCGGAGAGCAGGGGTGAAAGTTATTGGATTATCAGAAAAATGCTTCACACCCTTTTTAAATCCCTTGCTTGACAAAGTCCCACCAAACTTGAAGCTACAATAAACAAGTCTGAATTGCATGCATATGTATGGGTGTGACTTATAGAGGTATTATGCGTCACTTGTGATGTCTCATCATACTTTAAAATCACTGTTTCCCAACAACAAGGCAAGCAATGCTAATGATAGGTGCTACCCAGAGCATACTGAGGACATACTGAAACATTCCAAACCAGCACTGGATGGATAAGGAGGGAGTGGCTGCTGGGTGGATTGCCTAGAAAGACTTTCTAAAATCGCACACTACCGTTAGATGTTTATTTGCAGCTAGGGGACTGTCTCAGAGTTGTGTATCTACAAATTCCCTATTGTTTTGTTTAAGTTTCTAAGGTGGGACTTCAGTCAGTCTGCTGCAACTTCAGGATGTCCGAGAGTCCTGCTTTGCTTCTAAAAGAATGCCAAGTGTGAAAAAAAATAAACTAAAGTTTGATTGCAATCACCCTCCCTTCTTTCAGCTTATTCCCTGCATCCACCTCCTTCATTTCGCCTCTCCACACTGTCCCTCATTCCAGCCACCCACTCACAAACCCATGAGGAAACGGCAGAGGAAGTGTGCTAGAGACCAGTTTCTTTCCGTTTTACAGTGGCACGGCTGAGTAACACCACTCCTCTCGCCTAGGCTGTCAGTCAACAGGGCAAGAGTATATAGTGGTTCTGGTAAAGCACTGTGATAAATATCTTCACACAGTCAAGCTAAGACTCCAAACAGTCATGAGGGATGTCCTGTTCTTCAGACTAGTAAAGGTGCTGTTTGTCACATGGGTGGCAAGTGCAACAAAATCAGCGTGAGTGGCACCGTGGATTGCTAATGTTGTCTATGATAACTTAGCAAGATTTGATCAATAAAGCCTCTTCAGGATTTCTTCAAAAAAGTGTGGCTTTTGGAATTTCAAATGCCCTACATTACTTAAGGTTCCAACATAATGTAGCCTCTGTACTGCTGCATTCGTGGATAGTGCAAGTATTTAGACAAACAGAATCCGCCCCAGGCCAAGATGAGGCCCTGTTCGCCAAGCGTTTTAGCTGCAGGCAGTCAGGAACCAGTTCAGTTTCAACGCTTGAAATATATGTTCCATTATATGTTCCATATTTATTATATTTGTATAAGTACCATACTCTTGCCTGCTCTACATAGACTCTACATCTATAGTAGTATTGTACATAATACAGTACTTAGTGTCATATCATCACCATGCATAACATGAATTTTTGAAATGCTACTACGCAGACACTTTCTAGCCCTCTTCAAGCAGTCTGTGTCACAACCAATCACCTCGACAAGAGCAATTTGAGAAATGCCGGACATTTACAGCTATGAGACACTCAACATGAGTTAGGTGTGCATTGTATGAGAAGTTGTGCAGAGCAGAGCGACGAGCAGCTCTCCCTAACACTAGACTGAAATGATTTTTGGGTGTGGCAGGAGGGAGCTGCGGAGGACAACTACACAGGCAAGTTTGACTTTCAACCGAGATCCAACACAAGATTACATGTGGTCTGGATTTCTTATCTGCCTCTTCCTCAACTTCAACAAACATATTATGTCAAAAGCAGACCAGACTTATGTGATGATTCTAGTTTGAACCACACCTGGAAAGATGCGTTTGTGCTCTGAATGTGTATGCAAGCAAAACATAATATGTTCATACATAAGTAGGCAGAAAAATCTCTCAACTTTTTTGGGCAGATAAAATAGGTTTCTCTCTTTCAACAAAATGTGCGAAGTCTAAGCTCCCCCCTCTATGCCTCAAACCTGGTTTCAATTAGCTTGTCTTTCCAAACCACTACATTCCATTACTCCCCTCCTCGCCCCCGCCCCGCCCATCCCCCTCACTAACTCATTCCCTGACTCTCTTTCCCTGTCTTCCTCCCTCCTTCTCCTCTCCCCCATCTCTCCTCCCCTGTACACCCTGGCTTGAAGCCCAGGTTAAGAGACCCAAGGTACAAGAAAAAGAAAACTCTTTCTCTGCCCAAGACTTAAAAAACTAAGTCATACGTAAACATACATTTCTCAGTACAAAGCAACAGCGATAGTCCCCACCTTTCTCTTATGTAACATTAGCGTGAAAGGAGTTATAACTTGTTCAAAAAACGGATTCATATCATATCAAAAACCATCAGATAAGTTCAGTGCATTCAACAAAAGAAGACTGCATTAAAAAGGCCCATATGTGAGATTTTCACAGTTCCAAATGATTGATAATTATACAGCACACTACAGTATAGTGTATAGGGAGAGAAAAAGTTCTGATCAGTACTTTTCATTTTGATGGAACCCCCTGGATGCCCCTGAAGGACTTTTGGATGTGTTTGCAGGGACCCACTTAAACAATCGCTTGCAGACTGTATGGGGTTGGTTTTTTTTTTTCATTCTTTCTTTTTTTTTTTTTTTTGCTGTAAAGGGTGTGCCTCTGTGAGAAGACAGCGAAGCAAGAAGGGAGGGAGAAAAAAAGGCACGGGGTGGAGGGAGGTGAAAGAGAGGAATCCACACCCAAGCCTGTTGCTGCAGGCTCTCATAGGGAAGTACCTTTACTAAGGCTCAGCCAAGGGCATTGGAGAGATAAGAGGCACACCTGAACGATAGCATCAATGAAACTACTTTATCTTTCAGCCACTTCCATCTTTCATCTAGTATGCGGAATATTCCAGTGCTGTAAAAAAAGAAGTTTGCTATTCCAAAGACTAGGGATAATGTCTATGCAAAGGACATCCACGTTGCACAATAGTCAAATTACTACTCAAATAGACTGAGCTGGGGTGTTGCCTCTTATTTCCGAAAATATTTAAACTTTTTAAAGTCGTATAAAGATATCCAATATTCTTTCTTCAACAGTAAGTTCAGTTACACACACCTTGGATAACAACCTTTGAGTGCAGTTAAAGAAAAAGTGAAGTGCGCAACTCCAGTCAAGTCCGCAGTCTGCATTCATGTGGTAGCTGTGTGTACACACCCACTTCTCATGTCCTGCACTATGTTAAATCAGTATTTAAAACTTATGATGATATTCACACTAAATCACTGCTACTTTATACCTTAACAGAAAACAGTGAGGTGACACACCTGTTTTCTCTTCATACAAAACCCTATCGCAAAACTTCCCTTTAGGAAAAACCATAGGATACCACAGGAGATAACACATACAATAAAGCAGGAATAAGTCATTTTTATCTTACCACTGATGCACACACTCACTACACGTGCCCATTGGAATATTACAGGAATGCTGGACTGATAACTTTGACAGTTTTGATGCTTAGCTGTTTAAACTTTGGCAATGTTTTTCTAAATGATTTGCTATTTTTAAGCACAGTTAAGTTTGAAGCAAAAGAACAGCTGGCAACAAAGTTCAGGAACACAGTTTTAAAATAAGGATTAACTTCAGTCTGAAGAGAGAAAAAAGGGCATCATTACCTGTGCGCAGTCTGAGCGCCCAAGAAGCCTCACACGGGCTTGAGCATCCTTGAAAACGTCTCCCCTTATCCCCAGCCCAAGAAAAAGCACTTCTTCCAGTCACAACTTTGTAGTCTGTTAAGATTCTGTCACTGTTCTCCTACTTCTCGATCAACCAAGTTTCCAGGGCGTTTTCTCCCCCCTCTCTCCCTCCCTCTGAGTTGATTTTAACTTTTTTTCTGTGTGGCTGCTCCTCTGGGCTGAGCAGAGTGGTTGGATAGAGAGCAGGGTAGGGCTCCTGGTTTACAGAGGGAGGGGAAAGCTGGGGAGGGGACCGGTGCGAGGGAGTGGTTCACAGCGGCTGTGGGACCACCCACTACTTCACATAGGAGCTCCAATGACATGCAACAGGAAAACTAACTACTGCATCAAAAAATGAAAAGAAATGTTAATTTATATAAAATAGCTACATGAAACGTCCTTAAATAGCTATAGTTATCATCGAGATTTTACCAGCAGTGTATGCTTTTGGAACTGTTTTCACCAGAAGTACTTCTACTGTCAAAGTTAGCAGTGGCTGAAAAGAAAAAAAAAATTGTCATGGGTTTGGAGTTGTTGTTTGGTTTTCCTGCTCCATATCAGTAGCTAATAATAATTTAAAAACTAAAGATAGATAGATAGATAACATTTTGACTGTTTCAAGCTAATTCAAGACAAGTGACACGCCTCACTGTTGCCAACTGACACCCATGCACAAGAGGCAGCCTTTAACTGCCTTGCATAAATGCTTTCACAATGAACAGCATAGCAGTATAATAAAAAAAAACTTTTTACAATTTATTTTCATACGTTTTTGTTAAACATTTTAGAATAATAATGAGGTCCACAGAGTAACACACCACAAAATGGGTATCATATGATGGACAATGACATAAACATGTTATTACAGCATTTAAACTACTGCACACAAACTGACACAAAGTTATCATTAACAAAGTGACTCAGGAGTGAGTCCTTTACTTACATACAAAAGGCAAAGTGTGTATTTACACAAGTTTTTTGTTTAAACAGTGCCCACCCTGAGCCAAGTCCTACCAAACTGTAATACCTGCTTGTTTTATGTTAAATAACTTTATGCCTGCTTTGGATTTTAAAATGTATTCAATATTTTAAAAGCATGCTTCATATAGTTTGTTATTTTCCTCCACCAATTCATGAACTGAAAATAGCAATTGTAATAGTAATGTCAGTAATTGTCAGTAGGAAGACCATACTCTCTTCACTGCATAATTTTGTAATAGCCAGTGTCACATGAAAGCTTTCTTTAGAGGGAAACTCTCCTTATGGTCACAAGTACTGATCCTCTGACAGCCAGATGATATTTCAACTGTTTCAAGAAATACATTAAAGCCATACTGAATGATAATCGGTTTTCCTGTCTCACGAAACTGTTGCTGCGCACATTTCAGTCTGCACAGAGACAAGGATCCATACAAGCTCTAACACGGGGTGAGCCAAATCAAACAGGGCTCTTCCTAACTTACTTCCGATATTAAAAAATATTGTTTTCCACACTTTTGTTTAAAAAAACTGAAAACATTGTAAATGATCACTGGAGTTATAGAATACAAAGTTGAATTTTTGCATCTGTTTCAGCGTGGTGGAAAAGGAAAGGAAGAAATGACATGGGCGGTTAAGACAGAGTCAAATTGGGTGGTGCCTCAGACAAATTCAGGCTGGGATTATGGATAATATGGGGTCAGCAAATGAGACCTGGTTTATGGATGAAAAATGTCTGATAAAATATGAATTCTATACTTGTAAAATGTATTTTAGAATAGTAATTTACAACCTCGAGAGATTTTTTTATTTTTATTTTTTATTAATTTTTTTGTTAATTAGATGAGTCAAATAGTCTTAACCCCTAAAATACAAGTCCCTGCGGTTGGGAATCACTGATTTATGATATGTTTGGGCTTTGCCAATTTCACATGGGAAGAGGATGTTCACCTCTCAGCAATGTTACAGCGTCCTTGAAACACCCCACCACCAACATGTCACAGCCATATTCAGTGAGGTGAAATAGCAAACAACATGGAAGGAGCAGAGCAAACACAGAGGAAGTTACTCTGCGGCTTGGTAGGGATTGAACAGGGCGTGTCACAAAGACATACATGTTCACACACACACACACACACACACACACACACACACACATCACTACTTTAATATAAACACATTGCACTACCATGGGTCAAGAGAGCTCTGATTTTGCCTTCTCTCAAAAACAGGGTGTAGCTCTTCAACATAAAGAAGACCCACTGTGTCGGTGTGTGTGTGTGTGTGTGTGTGCATGAATGCATTTATTTATCTATAATTGTGTGCATGATGAGATGAAAGTGAAGGAGTAATCCCAACCATGTGCAAGATAAGCAGACACCCTAAAGAACTCTGTGTGAAGCGTGGTATTGCTTTACTCTTTGGACTGTAACAGTGTTTTAAATAAACAGTGCCAACCGACAATAAAAATATTCCTAATATAAAACACATTTTGCAGGTTTCCGGAGACATATTTTGTGAATGAGTAGGTGAAAACATGTATTACATTATTCTATTGACTGCAGAGATCATTTATACTGTCTACATGTTGTCTTTTTTTAAAAAGTAACCCTCTGGTGCTTGAAAGTTACACCATGTGCCTTGTTATGAATTTCCATGTGAGTGGACAATAAAGATTTCTATTATATTAGCTACTGAACTGTGCTCCTGAATTGGTGGAAAGGATCATTACCCTCTTCACACAGTGTCCTGCTACTGCCCCTGTTTACTTAGTTCCATTCATGTTTGTCTTTTTTGCCTCGAGGTGTGGCTGCTGTTGCCTTTGAAGAACAGTTTCAGTTTAGAGAATTGCACATGTGAATTGCAATGATGCCTGTCTGAACTATTTGCTGCGCAACAACTTTTCTGCAGGTTTGAAAAGTTTACGGGCACATAATAAGCCCACAGTAAACACTTGCACTGCTGCATACTCTTTACTACTCATAATGACCGTATTTATGCACTTTCACTGTTACTCAAGAGCTCGCTCTCATGCTGATGAGGTGAATCTAGATAAGTTATTGATTCACCTTATAAAATCTTAATCAATCGGCAGTATGAGTTGGAGATCAAGATAAGATAAGAAACAAAGGTAAGAAGAAGAGTTGGAGCGTTAAGACAGTCATCATATGGATTGTGTAACAGGGATCAAACTAAACTTTGGGGAGATGTCCCGGGTATTTTGCACATTCAGTGCATGTTTTTACAAACTGAATCCCCTCTGACTGTCACAGCTTTGTGGCAGGTCACTCTTGTTGAATACAAGGATATGTGGGAATGGGTGTGTTTCCTGGTCCTAGGTGTGTCAGCCAGTGTGAACCAGCGCAAATAGCTTGGCTCAGACGCACGATGACTCACGGCCCATGGCTACAATGAGAACAGGGAAGCTCAGACTGTAAAGAAGAGGAAAATCAGAGGATTAGATGGGGACGGACGGTTGAATGTCTGTGTGTTTGTGTGTGTGTGTGTGTGTGTGTGTGTGTGTTTGTGTGTGGGTGTGGGTGTGTGTGTGTGTGCTTGCGTGTGTGTTTGTGATCGTGTGCCTATGATTAATGTCTATCGCAGGATGAGGGAAGTCACATGGCACTGGCCTTAGCAAAACTGTAACTTGTGATACAATTGAAGAACAGTGACACAACACCTGAATCTAATGATTATTTAAATTTCATCAGCTTTTCTTGAGCAACTGTTTGGCTCTACGCATTATAGGCATACGAGCCAGATGGGTGGGAGTTGCATTTGATTGTGTAACAGAGCTTTAACCAGACACAAAGGACTATCTGAACACATTTCAATAGGGTTTTTAACCCAAAGGAGTTTAGAATAGTTTAGAAAATAGCTGTTAAAGGTTAGGATCTGGTCAAAAGAGAGAAAATCCTTGTATTATTCTTGCAAAATGTCACAATTATCAACTGAAATTCTTCCCTAAATTCAGACAATGCGAGCAGTGTAGTTGGCAAATGGCCTGTTTCTATGAGTCATCAAGATAATTTGTGAGAGCATGCGATACAATAGAAGAGTTTTATTCCAAAACACATTTGAGAATGTAACTCAATGTTTGCTGCTATTTTTTTCTTTTTCTTATCTTGTTTTTTTTATGTTTACTAAAGGTGACACATTTTATTTTGCACGGACTTTAAGGTGTAACCCTATATAGCTATGGGTGTAACCTTCAATAATTCTGTAATTGCATGCGTCACATTTTCAAAATGCTGGTGTCTGTGGGATATATCTCTGTTCTGCAAAATAAAAGTGATTTAAAGCGATGAGCATAACTTTCATTGTCTGTAATCACAAAACAAAACAGCGATTTTCATAAACAGCAAACCTATTCAAAGCACCCCCTTTCACTGAAACTGATCTTGTTTGCTGCATTTGTGGTCGATTGAAAATGGCAATACACTTAAAAGTCTTTTAGTAGTCCTGGAGAGTTCATTGTTAAAAGCAAGCACTCACAACACAAACAATGTTCTGTGTAAATAGAAGAGTTCTTCGTAAACCAACTTCATTAGATTTTTTTATACAATGCAACATTGTCAATATTGTGACAAGTGTCTGGGCAGCCGAAGCTGAAGACACAGTCAGATAAACATTGTCAAAGAGGCATTGTCAGTGTCGAAGAATGTCAAAGGAAATGTACTACAGATTCAGCTTGTGTTCTTCATAAATGAATGAATGAACTATTGTTAAAGTCAAAAACACTGCAAAATTTAGGAGTACAAAAAACTGTTTCAAGTTTATTAATACAAAATGTAGTCTTGTCTATTTCCTTTTTTTTCTCTTTTGATATTTACTGCAGGTCTTGTTAATGTTTATTTAAATACCATTGGGTTTTGTTGGCCTATATTTAAACAGGTAGTGTCATTGAAATTAGGATCTCTTTTTTTTCACACTTATAGAAAACCGCAATACCAAAATAGTGTATTTGCAGTATAGCGGTTATATTGAAATAATCTAAATAGAAATCACACTTCCTTCCTGTATAAAGTGATAAATGCAAGTTTGATAACTTGCAGCATCTGATCTCTCTGCTCTGAGTCCGTAACTCAGGCCGATTAGTTCAGTAAAGAACATCTAAAAAAAAAATCCCTGAGTTAGTGTTATTTTTCATTTCAGTGACTTACGCAAATTCACACTGGTTGAATTTTTGAAACAACTGTTTAGTCTACATTGTGG